CATTAGCTGGAATAATTGGTGCAGAGCACTTCCGTGAATGAGAGATTTCCGGGTAACGAGACGAATCTCTCAAAGCCGGAAAAAATCTCTCATCCCCGGGAAATTGCCCATTACATCATCTCTCGAACCGGGAAAAAACTTCCCCATCCCTGGAATTTTCAAGTTATCAGGAAATTGTTCTCAGAATTTTCCAGGAAATCCCCTTGGAAAATCTTTCCCAAAGCCAGAATTTTCCAGAAAATTCCGGCTTTGGGAACGATTTTCTGAGAAAATTTCAATTCCGGCTATCGGAGAGTTCCAGGTTTGAGGGAATCCAGCTAATGAAGATATTACTGTATTCGCAGGTTTCCCTGGCCACCATAGAAGACTTTTAGCCCCGTGTGGCAAGAATGCTTGCTGGATCAGAGACAAATTGAGCATCTAAAGTGGAATAAGGCATAGTAGTTCCAGACTTCCAGCCCATTCATAACTGCATGTATTTTTGTCTGATTATTGCCAGAAGAGGTTACTTGACTTCTGTAATATTCAACTTTGTGTGCCCTCACTGAATAAACAACAGACCTAAGTACAGTCATATACTCTGATCTAATATGGTCTGTTCGCTGCCTACACCACTCTCGTTCAGCACTTCTACGATCCCTACGAAAAGAACTTATAGACAAGTCATTTATAGTCTTTTCGTACTGTAATTCTCTTCATGATCTGTGGACAATAATAGCAACACTTAAACTCCAAGTATTGGTGATGTTACTTTTATATCTATTATTTAGTGTCTATAATATTATAACGAAATCCTGTAAAAACAAATACTGTACCCCCCAAGTTCGCGCATTTTTATTTTGCGGTCCTCTATTATTCGCAGATGACACCTTGGATGTACCGAACAATGTCTGTGGGTATTTTTAAAGTTGCTGGCATTTTTGCAGCTGGGACAGGGAGCCATTCGTTCTAGAGACAGTAATTTCCTTTACCTGTATTGTAAATGTGTGTGTGTGTGTGTGTGTGTAGACACACACAAAACACATACAATTAAATAAATGGAAAATCCTCTCACAAATAATCATTAACAAATTTATGAAAAATGAGTCTACCCTCAAGTCCATGCTTTATTACTTTATTAATAAAGCACAGACTGGAGGGTAGACTGTCACATTTTTAATAAATTTGTTTCTCATTATTTGTTTAAGTATTTCCCCATTATTATCTATTTGTATGTGTTTTGTGTATGTGTGTGTGCCTACACACACACACACACACAGGTAAAAGAAATAATTGTCCTAAGAGCAAACACACAAAGAGAATATACATTTCTTTGTACACAAGTAAAAATGGACCCCCCCTCCCGCAAATGTGATTCACGGCCATTTTGAGAACCTAATCCTCGCGAATTTGGGGCCCCCTGTCTTGTATATGTACACGAGAGAAAGAGAGAGAGAGCTAGAAAAACCTTTTCATCCAAAAACAGCACCAGAAATTTTTAATAGATACAAATATTTATGCACAGATGATTGAACATAGTTCACCTGATGGCTGCCACCTCTCTGCCCCCCTCCCCTCCTGATCAAAAGTATTTATCAACTTGCTTATTTTCATCCTTTAAATTTTATGCTATATAGCTTCTTTCTATTGTCCCAGCAACAGTAATTACTTAACACTTACATTAAACTCTTGATAACTCGGCATTTGATATCTCGGACTTTCATATAATTCGGCACGTACATGGTCTCGGAATTTATTTTAAAATAACTAGGAAAATGCCAAGTTATATATAATTATCTGGGAAAATCTCGTCACAATTGGCCACGTGGGTAAAACTCGCCGCACTACACTCCACGCTTGGCCAGTCTGGTGTTTGTTATTGTTGTGGTCGAGTTTGTGCTGGCTCACTCCACCCAGTACATGGATGTGGGAAGGGAGGATGGTGTAGCACCCCAATATTTTGGGTATAAAGTACTATACATTGCACCACAGAGTATCTAGGGGACCAGAATTAATATTCAGCACTCCCTGGTAAAATTTGGTTCCTGCGGTACTAACCCAGTAACATCCAACAACCGCCCTCATTCATGTCAGGCCAGCCAGAAGGGAAATCCAATGGAGTAGATTTTATTTAATTTACAGTGCCATTCACTTTATCTGAATTCCAACTATCTGAACCTTCCCGGTATCCCAACTTTGTCCCCTTTGGTAAAAATTCTAATTTAGTTCAAAATTCTGAAAGCAACTTGAGTCATTTATTCATGTGTCTGACACCTGTAGTGCTATAACCACCCTTTTAAACAAAAATTGCTGTGATAAACAATAAAATTGATACATAGCATATCATAAAATACAATAGAATATATTTTACGTAAAAAAAAAGCTCCTTCCACTCAAATCATCATCTAAGTGATACCACAGTTCAGCCAGGCAGTCAACCAGCTGACCGAGACGTGTGTGTGTGCCATGACATCACATGAGAGGGAGGCAGGTGAGTCAGCCACACAGTACAGGTCACTGAGTGGCCTTCAAATACATTCACCTCCCACACACACACACACCTATGCTCTTCATTTTTCTCATTTTATAGTTTTATATTATATTTTCTTTATTTCTAAGCTACATTAGAGTATATTAATTTGTATACTCTTTTGCTCTGTAATAAAGAAAAAGGTTTTACTTGGGTGGACTATCATGTCCTTTTTGACATACAAGTAGGTTACATGTTATTTACATACTCAGATTTGGTTGTACACAGAAAACAATTATTTTTGTTAAAATTTATTCTTTATTTTGTAGGAGTGACCAAATTACAGTAGTATACGTAAGTGACACACTGTTTACTGCTTATGTCACGTTTCCCCTCCGTCATCTGCATCACCTACCATTCCCTGCGTCACATACCATACATCTTGCTTACTAAAATGCTTCATTCTTCGCCTGCAGTGCTGGTAAGTGTTACTTATTGAAAATTAGTACAGTGACCCCTCGTTTAACGAAAGCCTCGGTTAACGAAATTTCGGTTAACGAACTGCCTTCCATAAGGATCTTCAATTCGGTTAACGAAAAAAAATTCAGTTAATGAATTTCTTACGAACCGACCTCAACATGTTTTCGCTTGCACTGACCGGGCAACCAGCTTTAGTATCAGTCCACCAATACATTAATCGGTTCTAGGGCTTAAATGCCTTACTATTTCAGTAAATATCAAGAAGTTTATACTATTCAATAATTTCAAAAGTTTAATATTCAATTTTTTAGTCATTTTAACAATTATTGAACATAATTGAAGGTAAAGTGACTAGTTTAATGCGCGGCATCCAGCCTCTTAACACAGCAAACAGGCGTTAGTCTCTCTCTGTTTTCACTGGAGGTAACATCTTGCTTGAGACTCTCTTCAACTAAATGCTTTTTTTTCTGTGTTTCCAAGCAAATTATTGGTCATTTTGAAATATATTTTACATATTGACAATATATAATGCAGTGCAGTGTTGATTTAAAGAAAATAATCTTGAATTACACCAAGAGAGCTAAAATTTTATGGGTGAAATGGCTCCATGGGGTGACTTCTCTTCCACCCCAATGCCTTCTCTTCTTCCTTCTCCTCCACCCCCATTCTAAATCCCATCATCATCATCATCATCATCATCATCATCCAGGAGCCTTCTACATACACACCTCAAAGTAAGTGAACTTTTCTACCATTTTTGTTGAATTTAGGAAATTTTCGGTGAGCTGGAACCAATTACCCAAAAACTCATTGAAACAATGGTTTCGGTTAACGAACGACCTTCTGGAACGGATTGAGTTCGTTAACCGAGGGGTAACTGTAATTACATGTACAAGTATACATATATGGGCCGATAATTTATTTATTTATTTATTTTTTGTGTGTGTGTGGGGGAAGTGCCTCGATAAGTCAGAATTTGGGTTAATTTGACAAGGCCACAGCCCCATACGTGCCAAGTCATCAAGGTTTTACTGTATGTTAATGTAAACCATTTCTGGAGAATGTCTCGACCCATTAAGTCAAGAAATACTGGCAGGGGCATTATTTCATATTTTGTTTTGGGGCGAGGGAGGGGGAGCGCCATTACATGCAAAGAGTAGGAGTCAAAATTCTGCTCCACCGTGGTGCCGCCAGGTGGTTCTGAAACACACGGAACATGTTCCAACACGTTTTATATTTTCAATTTGCATCTGCCCGGTGTGGACTGTGTGGCTGCTAACAATATGACTTACTTCCTTGCCGATATTCAGTTTATAAATGATAGGCAATGGGAACGATGAAAATAAATGAATACTTATCATTTTGTTTAATTATGCATGGTAAGAATACCATAGAGATGTTCTCACCAAATCCAAATTTGTCTATATGAAAAAGGAATACCTGTATAATTACAATTTTCCTTGGAGAGCAAAACAGCCCTTGGGAGGGACAAGCCAGGTCTTGAAGGGGGGGGGGGGTGTTTCCCCCCTCACAATGACACCCCTGCATAGCTGACTGTGTCTCTTAGGAAACGAGCCAGTTAGCCACCTGTTCTCATTTTCTTTTTGACCTTCCTCCCAATTACAAATGTCGGTAGTTTGGGTGAATAATTTCATATTATCAGTCTAATATCTGCTCTTGAAGATAAGCTTTTCCAGAGAAGTAAATATCCAGTCCACAAGTAAACAATTTTACCTCTCTGTTATTATCAATACTGTAATATGGAAACTAAACAAATTTGGAGCAAAGATAAAAAAAAATTAGAAAATGAAAAAAGTACTTGCATCTTGCATAGCTTGTTTACACAGATAATTAAGAAAAAAGTAGTTACAACTGATAAATTTTAACGTGTTTTTGTCCAGAAAAGTAATAAGTAACAAGTAGATCACTGGAAAAATTACCTAGTTACTGTAATCGATTACAATTTAATACAGTAAATCATTACTTGCCCACCACTGACTGCCACTTCCTTCCCTACCCCTCACTACTTGACCACCAGCTGACACCATCCAGGCTATTTTCCCACTACGTATATGTATGGAAATTTATTAAGGAGCAGTACACTTATCATATCAAAAAATATCCTGCTGCTGTATTGAACAAAAAATTCAATTTATTGTCAGCTTTGAACATTTCCCTCATCACTATTTTGACTTGTACAGTGTGTAAATATCCCACTCAGTGGCCTAGCCCTATTCCCCACTGGTAGGGACAGTGACTCACTATGTGAACATCCCTCTAATATTGCTTTCAACATACAGTACAGGTACTCATAACTATATATTTTTTGTAGTTTGCCCTGAAATATAGCCTCAAAGTGTAAATCTAGTAATACGAGAGATACTGCGCCAAAAAAGGGTGATGAAATAAATATTATGAGAAAGATAGAGGAATTGCTTGATCAACTTGCATTTGGTGCAAGTGTAGCAACTGGAGACAGGCATCAGGGGAACTTCTCCATTACACTCTTTCATAAGTTTATCTGATACTGTACTTGTGCATTGGACTTATAGTAATTTTATAAGGTACACTAAAGTTATTATAAAAGTATTTGTTTTTTAACTAGAGTACACATCCTAAAGGGGAGCGTTTGGCTGAAGCAGGAAATTCATTAATAAATGATCAATCAGTATCAATTTCCTGTCAGCAATTAAGGACACCAGATACCCTGAATTGGTTCTGCCTAATCTTTAATATCTGTTTTTTCTCTTATATTCTTATCAATTTTCAAAATCCTACTTCTCAATAACTTCTTGCTAAATTACGTTGAAATTCATGTGAAATATAAGGTAATTTACTCTTCTTGAACGTAGCAAAGATACTTCTGATTAACACTTTCGTATTGGATGAATGAATTTTTTCCTAACTTACCATTTTTTCCTCCAAATATTTATAAAGATAAATCAGCAAATAATAAACCAAGCCATTTATAAAGAAAATCTATATGTTATGCCATGCACAGTATGTTATTCTACTACCTGTGCTTAGTCTTTGTTTTATTAAGATCGGCTCGGGATTTGAAGGTTAAGAAAAACTCGTTTTGAGATATGGGCCGATAAAGGTGACGTGAAAGAAACTCACGATCGTACCTCACTCTCGCTTGTTTGATGGGTCACTGAATCTCATGACGACGGTTTCCTGAGGTTAGTTTTCTGAGAAGGGTGCCAGATACTGATATTTTCCAAGTGATTGGTATTAATTTACACCAAAATATTATTATAAATAAGGTACTTTCTACAGCTTTTCCTATGTAAACAGAAGGGACCTCTAAACGAAAGAGGAGGTACAACAAACATGCTAAATAAATTTTACGAATTATGCAATAAAAATACGTCAGCATATAGCCATAGGCAACAGCTTTCCACAGGAATTTTTCTGAATATTTTTGTTATTTTCCAATTTTCCTCGTATTTTCAGCCAGACGCTCCCCTTAACTCCTATGGTTGGCAAGAGATCACTGCACTTCATAGAAACATAGTAAGGCAGCTGCTCATCAAATATTTAAGTACTGTACCAATATCTATTAAAGATAGTCTGATTAACAAACTTAAAACATTCAGTATTTGTTAAATTTCCTTTAGAAACTTGCTTCAGTTTCAGCAGCTCATTTTAAACAATTGACTTTGGTACATACCTTTTCTTGTCTCCTTTCTACAAGAAATTATGATTTAATATCAATTACATCACAAACTATTTACAAAGAAAATAAAACAACTCTATGACTTGGATGGGTTGGAGGATGAGTCTGACACTCCATTAGTGAGCTCAGCCAAGCCTCTGTTCACGAGCTCTTCTGCTACATCTACATCCTGAAGAAAAAAAACCACTAATGAACTACTTAACAGTTTCATAAAATAAGAAAGCAAACATATATGAATTACTTTATACAATTTATTTTTCTTTCATCTACTCAGTCTTTTCCTTCTAATATTCACGGTGAGAAGGATCACAGTTATACACATATAGTACACACATTCAGTATTCCATTTATCTTTTTGTTATCAGAAATTCATGCTTACTACTGTAATACATGTGAACTGTCACTCCCCTGATTATGGATTTCCAACTTTACAAATATTCTCCCATAAGTCCCATAAAAATGAGCGCCAAGTAATTCCCAGGCCAAGCGGAGATATTTCCAACCATACCCAACCTGTGAGCTCTATGCTATGTTACATTTATTTTTAACTCGTAATTTCAGGTAGATATAGAGTAAGACCCCAAGTACTAGACTCCTGAGTAACGACATGTCTGAATAACGACATAAATCTTGGAAAAACTATTTTTGTTTAAATTCGAAAAAATATCTTAGCAGGACAGCCATTTGTTATTGTTCTGGAGCAGCATGGTGTGGACATGATACCACCAGCCCTCATCATAACACAGCCTATAGGTGATGCCGAAAGCAGATGAGTTGTTGTTTTAATGTTATTACTGCACCCCAATAACTAAGAACGCTAAAATTTTGAATGTCTTTGATCATAAGTGCGTCAGTTGTTACACACTGAAATGAGGTAAACGAAATCATGATTCACAGTATCAAATTAAAGGCTGACCAGATTCATACAGAACATGCACAAGCATCTACATCTGGCATTTATGGCAGCCACCGTGCCTCGATATGGAAGATGATTTGAAGATTTTGATATTGAGCAAGCAATGGAAATTCAGGCTTAGTTGCTTGATAGATGGCAAACCATCTTGTGACAAAAAATTCATAACAAGAGAAGGGTGGCTCCACAGTTTCATTAAACATGCTAAATTACATTGTATGACCTTCACTGGGGAGGATGCATCAACTAATATAGCTGTGGTAGAAAACATGAAGGAAGAAGTTGAATGTGGTAGAGGAGGATGGACTCTCCTGATCAAATCTAATTATACTACTCCAAAGAAAATTCCAAAGAAAACCTTTAGTGTTAGTTTCTTTTCTGTAGCTGTGCTGACGTAGAACAACAACAGTGTTGGTGAATAAGTCACTCATATGCTGAATTTGTGGGACACTGTGTCAATCAGAGATAGCAGGCTGTGATGCACTAAAATGATATATACCGTGCTACTGTTTAGTACAGGTAATTAAATAATTGTTTCAAGCAGGTTATAATGAATTGCACAGGCCTCCAATCCTTAATCCCTTATTTAGAATTGAATTAGATAATTTTTATATCAATTATTTACTTAAAGAATGTTCTCAGTCCGTTTCACGGGAAACAACTGGATGTTACTGTATTTTCCATGTACTGTATGTTCCTCTTGGCCCCAAGAAAAGGAAATGAATAGAACTTTTATAAATGGTAGTACTTACTGTAGAACCATTTGTGTCAATAATCTGAACACAAGGTATGGTTTTTTCTCCTGCCTGCTGGTATCCAACAACTTTTACCATAACAACCTTCCATTGTGCTGCATATGTCAACTCTTCAAACACATCAGCTGCTTCATCCCCCTTCACACTCCTACAAAAATATATCATATGATGATAAGTGTTGACATGAAGTACAGTAGTGTAGATTTCTAGTTTACTATCTAACAGATCGAGTCATTTTATATGTGCATACTCTCCACAATCAAACAAATCAAAGCATAAAAGGTTTCAAAGGACTTACTCAGGTTTAATATTTGCCAGAAAACACTCAATGGCTTGAAAGTTGAGCTTCAGGAAGTCTGTTCTTAACTCACTCACATTATCAATCTTGACTGTCTCTGTGTCTCCAAAGTCAACATAATATACTGTGACAAAACTTTGTAGAGGATCAGTCTCATTATGCTCATAGTTGCAGACTTGTCCTCTGTACCATGAGTTGTCATGTGGAAATTTGGCTGCCACAATGCTATTAATGTCTACCTGTAATTAGAGATTATACATTTTTATTATTCTGGCTCAAATATCACGTGGGAAGATAGTCATGACCATGCTCTCTTTGGTGTACAGTAATATATAACCAAACACGTTGTCTTGACACTACTTGATGCTTTAAAGTTCATTCAATGAAGTAGTATATATAAAATATTACCCAAATATTTCTGCTGCATACCTTAAGTCTTGAAGATGCAAACTAAATTCCTGATAACTTAAAAGTGACCAATAAGTAAAGCACCCATAACCTTCAACATGAAGTAAGGAAGTGTAACAGGTATAACTTTTGATTTAGCAAGTCCATACTACAGTAGATATAAAAGAAACCCGAGATGATGCCGAGCATTTATTGGAATAAACATGCAAAAGATTAAAAAAAAGGAAGTTAAATTTAAAATTTTTGTATATGACATTTCTCAGACTAAAAGCTAACTCTACTGAACATTTCTATACAGTACACTGTAATGTTAGAGATAAATATAAAATTAATAAAAAAATGTTACCTTGACCCATTTTCTCGAAGGCAATTATGATTAGGACTGTTCCTCTGTGTCAAGAAAAAGATTTCATTGGGAGGGAACATAAAAGGCCATGATAATATGAATGCCATTAACCCTTTCGCTGGCCACTCGTCCGGTCCAAATCTCAACCTTAGACGCAATCTATTTTTAAGGCAGTGCTTTCAGGTATTTTACTTTCCCTCAAGATTATTTTTACCCAACCTCATAGCAATTCTCGCAGTGCTCTCCAGGCCTTAGCTAGTGTCTCATCACCCCAACCCTCGGTAATAGATATTTAAGAGTGGCTATTTTTCATTCAATGTCGACGCCGGCACGTCAGTGTTTGCCGGGTTCCAGTCCATGAGGGGAGAAGGGGAATGAGAGAGTTGATGCTGTGGCAAAAGCAGCTGCTTCTTGCCCTGTGGCACATCATTCCCCAATACCTGCCTCTGATATGAAGCCAGTAATAAGAGTTGTCCATAGTTTGTGGATCTACATTAATGCCAACAGAATGTAACTGTGTTTATCATATTTTGGGTTCATGGTCTCCAAGTCCATCATACCCATGATCACCAAACTGCCGGTCCTATATATATAAAACTATAAAGACTTGACTGCAAATACAATACTTTACAACTAAAGAACCTCATCATTTTACATACCTTGTCTAATTCATGAAGTTCCCTGTTTTCTGCGCTCTCATAATATTCTGTCATTTCTGTCACCAGCTTATCCAGCAGAACAGACCGTTGACCCACCACCTGTTACAAAATGATGATTTTTTTTTAAACTCGATGAAAATTTTTTTTTTTTATTTCATTTACATATAGGAAATGCTTTAAATTTTGACAGTCATGCCAACAATGAGAATCTTTAAGTCAATCAGGTCATGTGATGAATCATCATTATCATCGCCATTTTATGGCTGCTTTCCATGCTTGCAGGGTTAGCTCAAAGGTGCATGATCACTTATAGCCTCTCTTGTCAGGTTCTTATCCATGAAGTCATTTCTCACAACAACTACACAGTTAATTTCCATCAATGAACCCAACTGCATTAGGTTGCTCCACTTTGCTTTCTATGGTAGGTAGGCACAGTGTGTAGGTGATTTATATGTAACAGGTTCACTTAGGATCTTGCACTATGTGTAACAAGTTCACTTAAGATGTTCAGTTTACATGTACTTACTGTCATATATGTTTGGATATGGGTAACGACAAAAACAATATAAACCCTCCGCTGCTCGTCACTGCAAACCCAAGTATTGGTACACCAGTAAACCTTATGTCATAGCAAAAAAAAAACAGTCTAGTGGTCTTGGGGTGACCTACCAAGACTATCTTTAGATACAGCCTTCCATGCATAACATGGCACTAAAGCTGACCATGGTATTAAGTGTTTGATGATGGAGTAGCCTCTTGGGGCATTGCCTGAGTTCTGGTTTCTGTACTATCAAGAAGTGCCAGCCTATAAAATTTACAGCTGGGACCCTCTGTACAGGAAGCACAGCAGCCCATAAAATGCAGCATAGACCAGGGGAAAGCCATAGTTCTGATGTCCTGGTTGCCATCAGGCAAATTTGAAGCAGGATTCATGTTTGGATGCCCAACCTACTTTTACAAAGTGGGAACTGGGCAGTAAACCCTTGCCATTCGCGAGGGATAGGTTCCAAGAAAGGGCGCAAATTGGCAAAATTGCGAATAGCAACTTATACTACCTTGGCGCACTACTGTATACCTATACCAAACAACTAACCTGCCACAACAGCACTCATCCCCTTTTAACTTCTCTAATAATAAAACTTTCTATGTCAGGGTTGTCACTGACTTCTACTTTTACATTTCAGTCCACTAACATCAGTAGCACTGACACTTGGCAGTCTATTAAGGGCCATTTCACACAGAAACACTAAAGTTTTGAGAGTACAACACGAGATGCTGCATGGGGTGACACGTTTTGCTGTGGGAAAAGGCTTACAAGCTAGCCACCATCTGCTTACCGCGAATCGTCGAAATCGCAAATGGCAGGGGTTTACTGTACTATCTGTAGGACCTTCAGGAAAAATTTTGGCTGCCAAGCCAGGGTCACAACTCCCTATTCATTGCCTTCTTGATGATTTTCTGTGGCTCCTATTATAGTTTCTTAGATTTCATCAATTTGATGAGCCTGAAGATCCAAATTCTCTGAAATGAGATATTACACATGGTCCAGTTTAACAGCTTGTCGGTGATTGTTTTTAATTATCCACTTCTCACTATCTTGATGAAAGAATTTTATGGTTAACTACAGATTTCAAGCTTAGCTGGAGTTATAAAAGTTGTTTGAAACTGAAATTTTTTGAAAAATAATACTGTATCCTGAAAAGGTTAATCCTTCCCATTTTTGGGATCTCTTCATTAGATAAGAAAGCATTTATCATCTATAGAAAAATGTCCTAAAGTTGCAAAACAGTCATCCAGTTTTGCTGATTCAGTTTTGCTGAATAAACTCAAAATTATTAAGGGTTTCCTGCACCCTACTCTAACATTTAAATATCCTCCTTTTATTTTCCTGCAGAAGCTGTGTTAGCTGATACAGCCTCTGTTGTGAACTTGTAAGTCACACTGGCTCATTTGTTACTGCTCACTCTAGGGCAAGAGATGACGGTAGTAATGCGTGTGATGGAGGGTGCGGGAGGGGGTTTTGAGAATTGCAATTAAATGCCAGGTAGCGACGTGTCCTCCTAATATTACGTATTAAGTAATTATTACATGTTTTAATTGCCTGTATGTTGGCATGGCGAGTTATTGCTAGGCATTAACATACCTAGGTATAAAGCTAGACGTCACATTCTGGACTATATCACAAAAACTGTTTTCTAGAAAAAAAAAAAAAAAAAGGCTTTTTTAAGCACTGTAAAGTGGGCCATATTAAAAAAGGGGCATTTACACCAATAATCTATTTCAGCTCAATTATGATAAAACATGAAAACTATCATAACAGCACAGAGAAATTAAAGAAACTTTATTGAAGACAATAAAATCAAGAAAATATTTCATGGAATACCTGTACTTTAGTTGCTTAAAATGGTTTGGTTAGGTTAGGTTAGGTTAGGTTAGTGGGATAAGGCCTGTTATCTGTCATTATGTGTCAATATACTGTATGGTAAAAGTTCTTCTGAAACAAGCCATCAAACAGTACAATAGTCCTCACTTGAAGCCAGAAATGAGATGCCGTGTCAACTGCACATACATAAGCCTCAATATATCGGTCACTGTTTGTTGATGAAAGTGCTTCAAATAATGGGTTGTTGCGGTTCATAGGTGAAGGCTGAAAAAATAAATAAAATAAATATGGTGAATTATGATATTTAGCCAGTAAGGGTTTTTGATATGTAAGACAATGCACATAATAGTAATACAGGTACTCCTCGACTTACGACAACCCGGACATACGACCGCCGTAGTCGTATAAAAATATTTTTCAAATTACATATTTTCTAGTACCGAAACGTTTCCGTCCTATACGACAGCGTGGGCTGGCCCGCCTCGTGGTGTACAACATCCACGCCGTAGCCCGCTCAGTTGGTGTTTTGTTTCTAATTCCCTTTAAAATAGCTGGCAAGCGTAAAAGTTAGAGTTCTCGTGGTATTGATAAGAAAAGGAGACAGTCAATTACTTTTGAGATGAAAATGAAAATAATAATGCAATATGAAAATGGAAAAACGGTAACAACCATTTCACGCGACCTTGGCTTCTTTCATTCGACGATATCAACAATTTTGAAGGACAAGGCAGAGGCATTTGCTACTATTAATAAGGGGATGCAAATGTTTGAAGAAATGGATAAAAACGTTGAGCGTTTTGCAAAAGTTGACAAACTGATCCGAGATGCACTTGCTTGCTACAGGGAGATTTACAATGAAAAGAAAAGACAAACTGTGCAGTCTAAATTGGACATATATTTTAAGAAGTCCCCCACTGCTGTCTCCTCATGCCCCACTACTGCTGCCTCTTCACTCCCTAAAGATGATCCAATACCTTCAACAAGCAAGTATGTTAGCCTGTCTGAAGAAAGCAAAATTGATGTCCCACCCAGCCCTGTCTCCTCCTCTGCTTCATCCAATTAATGTAGTCTCCATGTTTAATTAAAAAATTATTGAGGCCCCATGTGCATTCAGCTGACTACATTAAAGTTAAATGCACAGTAATACTTTATTCATCTTTCAGTATTGATTACTTTTACTGTACCTTATTTCATTTTAGAATTTCTGTATTATTTTCGCATTTTTGACTTACGACCAATTCGACTAATGATCTGGTCGTCGGGACGGAACCCAGTTGTAAGTCGAGGAGAGACTGTATTGGTTACATTTTCCCTTTTGCATGCCTTTTCCTATTATGATGCACAATTGCAGGATACCAGAGCAAACACAAATATTTTCTTCATACAATACAATGGTTAATAAATGTCCTAACTACTACAAAAGATATGTTGTGCTATGGTGTTCTCCTTCCACCAAAAAAGCCTATAGTTTATCCAGTTACTTCTTACAACCCAGTATCACCTATCAGCAGCATGTCCTTACCCAAAATTCACTCACTACCGATTTTTTTTACTCATTCATGCACCCTTCACACCAGTACGGTTATGCCGATCCAACCGTTTCCCCATTTATCACCATCTTTACTGCTTTTGACACTGTTCTTTTTCTCCATACATTCCTCAATTAACTTATTACTGTGTTTCCTTCAGCATGTCTGTGATTTATTTAAAAAAACATAACACTTTTGGCTGATGCATTTGCATCTAAATGTTCAAAGCTACACACTTTCTCCATTCTGTGTCTATTTATACAACCAACATTACCTTCTCCTCATCTCCCTTTTCTACTAATTTTCATCACTTTATCTGTCTTCACATTAATAACCTTCTCCTACTATACACACTTTCCTTGATGTATATAGTCTGATGGGGAACCTGTTCTAAACACACTAACACATGCTCCCTCGTCCAAATAAAATGTGCACATCATTCCAAAATATCAGATTTAGCCGAAACATTTTCAATAATCCCCACATCCATTTTTCTATTAACTCTATGATACACTTTTTCCAGATCCATAAATTCCAGTCCAACTCCTCCCGAGACACTTTTTCACTCACACTCTTCAATATAAACACCTGATCCACATATGTTCTTCCTCTTCTGATCCCACACTATTCTTCCAAACTATATTGTCTGTTTGAGCTTATAAACTCTATCATCCATTCTTTACATACTTAACTTCTCTCCTCAGCATTTCTACAGTGGTTCCATCAACTTCCAGTGCCTTACATTCTTAACTTCATCTCTTGTTTACTTGCTATTTTCCTCTTTCACTTTGACATCTTTTTCTCCTTCACATCTAAATCATATTACTGCCTCTTTCTACTTCCTTTGACTACAATATATCACCTCATTCACTCTTAGCATTTATATCCATTTACAATATTCTCTCTTACTTTTTCATCCAATCTAATTCTTTCCAGAACTTATGGCAACTTTTTTCCCAAATGTTCATCAATCTGTCTTTTGCTGTCTCATCATGTTTTACTTTCATTTAATATATATGTACTGTACTTCTCTCTTCCTTCATCACTGAACTGAATAAGAGGTTGGATTAATAAAAAAATTTCACCTACATTTATCTGTGCCTTTAGTAACATATACCTTTACCTCTATAAAATAATGATCATGGCATTCCACAGAACTAATTTAAAACACAAGAAAGCAGATTTGGGTTGTAGCATACCTGACTAACATTTTCATGTGCTGCCTGCCGACCTCTGGCTCTCAGGAACATGTTAGTAGCTGATGCATGTATTTGTTGCCTCATCTCTTCATCCTCAACCACCTGTGAAAGAGGCCACCCATGGGCTGCTCTACACTAGGTCATGCACCGTAAAAAGTAGCCCAATCTGTGTTTACTTAAATGCCAGTTCACTTAAGACAAACTATAAGTTGGTTTTGTCAGTAGTAACACGCAACAATGAACAATGTAACATTAAGATTATTGTCATCTCTTGTAAACAAAATAATAACTTAAGTGTTATTAGATAATAGACGATTCACTTAACAATAACTACTAAAAAAGAACAGTGCACCTCAATACGAATTACAATTCAAATAATCACACACACAAACAATAAGATGATTCATCACACATCCCTCAGTATAAACCAAGCTACAGTAAACAGTTTTCAGTAGTCAAGCTACAGTAAACAGTTTTCAGTAGTCAAGCTACAGTAAACTGTTTTCAGTAGTCAGGCTACAGCACTGACTCCAATTCTTCTGTATTAAATCTTTGGTCGAGTGCAAAAAGGGCCAATGTCAAAAAATGCCATTTTTGGCTTTTGCCCATGAAACCTGGGTTACATGGGCCAAAGTCTAAAATGGCATTTTTTGAACATTGGCCCTTCTTGCAATAAGCCAGAGTAATTAACCCACTCATCCTTACCAGTATTGTTAGAGTTTTCTGTTTGTAATTCTATCCCGAAGAACATATTCAAAAAATTTATTCAGGCATGTTATATATTTTTCTTTCTATTCCTTCATGAGTTTTGTTTACTGTAAAGCTGTATAATGTTAAGTACCTCATTTATATAGAACTGTGTTACCACTGTATAAAGTACTGTACATACCTTCAATTACAAGGAAAAAGTTCAGAAAAATAGTCATGAAGACAGTGACTTAAAACATCACTGTTGTAAACAGCCAAATACAATACTACAATCTGGACTTCAGGCAATGGGCAACAATAAAGTTTTATAATTATCAAGAGTAAATACAATGACCATTTTACAATCAATTCCAAGTTTTAATAAGAAAAAAATAGATACCGTATTTTATGGCATATAAGACGCACTTTTTTATCAGAAAATGGGGCTGAAAAAATCAGCCAGCATCCTATATGTGAAGTTGAGGTATCCAGTAAGCTAATGAATCCCTCAGTTGCTGTCTCCAGTAAGCTAAATTCTACCTAACCCAACTCCAGAATTAAAAATATATTTTTGCTTACTTAAAACACATTTTTATTTTTAATTAATTAAAAAAATATTTATTGTATATATAAAAGCTTGATATAACTACAGTACTGTACTGATGATCATACCCCGAGGAGATTAATGCACGGTAAACACCCACCTCTTCAGAGGTAGCTAAGCAGTAACCATTTCTGAACTCTTACAAGCATTACAATCTATTAATGCCATATCTGCAACATTTATTTTTAAATCTACAAATACCAGATAGAAATGAAGATTTACAGATAACATTCTTTTCACATTTGCATCTGTTAACATCACTTGCTGCATTGTAGACAGGTTAGACTAGTCACTCAAACCACCAGGCTACTGGGACAAGCTGTGTGGTGTTATGTTTGTTTTTCATCTCGTATTTTTGGGTAGATATACGTAACTTTCATTTATTTTTACTCAGTTACATGCACACACCATCCTACATACATACAGTATTGTGAAAAAATTGAAAGAAATAATTGTCGTAAGGGCGAGCACAAAGGGAGTATACATTTCTTTGCACACGAGTTGGCTCGCTCAGTGAGGGGGGGAAGGCGGGGAGGCATGTGGGGGAATGGAGGGTTGCTAGGGAATCGGCGGAGGTAGCGTCTGTGTTGCTATGGTGAACCAGAGAGTATATGCAAATGGCGACTCTGTTCAACTTTCATTTCGCTTTTATTTACTGGTTTGGCAATACAGTACAGTACTTTTGAACTTATTTATTGGTGTTATTTTTATTTATTCCTCACATTTACTGGACTGTATATATTATTTTAAGAAAACTATGGCTACAGGAGGAAATACAGACAAGTTTTTTCCTAAATACTCCCTGCTAAAATGAGGGGTGCATCTTATATGGCCATGCATCTTATATGCCATAAAATAAGGTAAATAAGTTTTTGGAGTTGTTTTGCAATCTAAAATCTTAATTTCTTTTTAACAGGTTTAATAATACTGTACGTGGATTTTTTCAAGTTCACACATGAAAGTCAACTGGATACATTACCTAATTATTGCACCTTAATGACAATTAATATAAAACAAATTATTTCATCAGTGTGTGTTTGAGCTTGAAAACTCACTTTGAAAGTTATTTAAATTGTTTTCTAATCATGAATAGGAGCTTAAGTTTCTGATTGAACTTCCACATCTAATTATGAAAAGTACAAAAAAATAATTCAATCTATATAAGCAAAAACAATATTATAAGAGAAAATTATATAAAAGTGAGAACTGAAAATATGAAATTCAATCCATATGAATCACTTGACACAGATTCCCAAAGAGAAATGTTCATTATTACTTTCAAAATATAAAGATTTTTGTTGCACTTATTTCACCCTTCTTAGTTGGTCTGACAGATAAATATAGATAATGTGAACAAATACTTAGGGAGCAGCTACCGATAGTCAAAGCAGAAGACATAAAATGCAGTGGAAAGAAATTTGGGTTGTACAGTATACTGTATAGCTGAAAGGTGAGCATATAGTATACAATATATTATATACAGTACTGTTTATGATACAATCGGCCCTTAACATACGCGGGTTTAGCATACACAGATTTGCAAATACGCAGATTGCCCCGCCGGAGGAATATTCTGTACATTGAAGTAATTGAAGTATATTCAAATTGCGCGCCATTCAACTCGCGCACGGCACCAAACACGGGAAACCGCCCGCTCCCGCAACCTCACACACACACGCATAGCTCTCCCTCAATCAGTCAGTCTCGCTGTAACCACGCTTGTGTTGACATCAGCATTGTAGTTGCAAAAATATTACATTTCCGTGAATGTATTATATCAAGCACAGTATGAATAGAATATCACTAATATAAGAGTATTTTAACCGAAAACTACTAAAAAAACGAGTAACATATCTTGAATATCGGAAGGTTAGGTAAAGTCTTTTGTTTTCATGTAGTTTATCCTAATTTACATTGAAATGCATTACGTTTCAGCAAAACGACTATTTATTTCTGAGAATATGGAAATGTAATATTTTGCTGAAATGACTTACGTATTACAGTGGAAAGTGACGAAAGCAATGATTCGCTTTCTTTCGTTCAAAAGATGTTACCGTAATCGCTTTTCGAATAGTTTTCAGTTAAAAAACTGTTGTATTACAATAATATTCTATCCTAATTCACTTGTGATGCAACAGTTTTTTTAACTGAAAACCATTCAAAAAGTGATTACGGTAACATATTTTGAACGAAAGAAAGCGAAAGTCATTGTTTTTGTCACGATTTTATCCCACTTTCCACTGTAATACGTACATAATTTCAGCAAAAATATTACATTTCCGTGAATGTAGCATATCAAGCACAGTGTGAATAGAATATCATTGTAATATAACAGTATTTCAACCGAAAACTATAAAAAAAACGAGTAACATCTCTTGAACATTGGAAGGTTAGGTAAAGTCTTTTGTTTTCGTCATGTATTTTATCCTATTTTACATTGAAATACATCACGTTTCAGCAAAACTACTATTTATTTCTGAGAATATATTCATTCAGGCACAGTTTAGGTAAAATATACTTGTGATGTAATATTTTAATGAAAATACGGTATCGTAGTTTTCTTTTGTTTCAAATTTAATTAACAAAGATTGATGTTTCAAATGTAATGAACAAAATTTATGTCCAGTATCTATAAATAAACTTTAATAAATGAATACTTTATGTTTTACATCGTCCTGTGCTACCATACCATGGATTTGGCTACTTTGGGCTTGCTATGATGACGCAAGAGATCTACCCTGGCAACTGTACCGACACTCACAGCTGGTGGTGCGTTGGTGCATCATTTCCATTGTTTACTGGTAGTTACTGGTAAATATTTTTCAACCTAACGAAACTATTACCCGTTTAGAGGTCGACCCCCAATTTTTTGCCAAATAATTTGGTCTTAAAAACTCAAACTACACACAGGTATATACGGTAAATAAGGACATGGGGGGAGGGGGCAGGTTTTTGGGGCAAAAATACGCGGATTTTTAACATCTACGGGTATCTCTGTTATGTAACCCCCGCGTATGTTAAAGGCCGACTGTACTGTACTTTATATAAAGTACGTAGAGTAAAATTTAATGGAATGAGATACATTAAATAAAGTATCAAAATATATGAATACGATTTAGGGAGAACCCACAGGTAAAAAGAAGGTAAAAGAAACATGATATATACACTCTTACCAAAAACTTCTCAATCACTATAAGCACTAGGCAATCTGAAAAATGAACGAAGAATCTGAAACCATTCCAAGATGACAAGCCCCATTCTGCTCATTCTCACATCCATCGTGCCCAAGTGTTCGAGAAGTATTTTGTTGAGAGTGTACAAAGAAACTGACAGCTATACAAGTGAATATTCAAATATGAGTGAAAACTATAAGGCAATGAAATATCTCAAATGAATCCTTAAAACTGAGACTTGAAAAATATATTTCTAATGTACATAATGTATAATAAACTGAACATGTCTTTTCAGAGTTTATCTGCAATAATTACATTTAAGACAATCATGACAATTTACTGTACAGATAATGATTGTCAATGTGATAATGCTTTTAATTTAAACTCAATTGTATGAGGACTCTTATTAACATTATACCCACAACATTCATATACAGTATACACAAAATTAATACACAATCTTCCAACATATAAACACACAATGGATAGAAGAAAAAGAACAAATGCAAGGTGTGTTAACACTCAATACAGTTCTGCATAGGATAGGAGAAAACATTAGTTAAAAAAGTGACCAAAGCACACCTGCTGAGGGCATCAAGAAGTACAGGTTAGTACACAGAAATTGAGCTGAAGAGGTAGAGCACAAACCTAATTAATACAAGTTTTCAGAGAGGGTCAACTTCCAAGACATAAGGAGGATATTAATCAAAAACAAAATGTTCTATGACGTGCTTAATATATGCTGTACCAAATGGCAGGCATAGGCAAGAACTAAATCTTTTGGAGAAATGGGAGGGAATTCTAAATCTTATAAATTCCTTTAGATTCATATTTATACTATAGCAGCACCTTCATAACTTAATCAGAAACAATATTTCAGATATGTTATTTTTTTCTATTGGTAGTTCTCTTCTTTAACCAAAATAAGACAATACTGCACAGTATATGCATACAAATCTCAAGATACTGTGTACCAAAAGATCCATAAAACCTATCAACACACCATATTCTCATTTGTATAATTAAAATACAGTACAGGAACAGTCAAAAGTAATCATCCACTCCACCTGCGCCTGGCTGGGTCCTTTCTGTGGGGCAAGTCATGTGGGGTGGAGAAAGGGAATGGTAGACTTTGGGAAGTGTCATTTGTTGGGAGAGGGGGATGCAAATTGCTCATCAGAGAGGGGAGGATTGAAGAAAGCAGGAAAAGTCATGAAAGGGTGGAAAGGAAGAATGGATGTAATTTTTTTTTCACTATATTATTTTAGTTTCACATACTTGAAAGAGTAAAAGATGAAGACCCTTATTTTATGACTGATTGATAATGAATGTGCAATCTTTTTTTCTTAATTATAATTTTTACTAGTAGTGGGTTAGGTTTTAAACAACGGTAATTAAAATATTTACATTAACGTTGATGTGAGAAATATTAAAATTCATTCTTAAATATTTTTGTAGCAATTAATAGGGAGTTTTTCAAGAATGGTGGAAGCGATTAAGTAACGATTCATACTTAATATTTTTTCCTTCAATTAATAGTAATTTTTTTTCAAGAATGGTAGTGGCAGTAGGTGGAGGTGATCAAATAGCAGCCTAGTTTATTGTTACTGGTGTTGAGCAAGGCCAAACACAAGGCCACGCCCCTCCTCTCTCATGTTTTCATATCAGCGGCTTTCCCTCAAGGAAGCCATATGCTTTATCAACCCTAATGGCACATTACCTGCAAAAAGCTCATTGCATTCCTCCCCAGAATCTCAAGTTAAGTCCATATGGCACCTCACCCCCACCCTCCTGGTTGGTTGGTTGTTGCTTTAGGCCTATCAACTGACAGGGTCATTAAGGACATCAACATCAAGCTACATCCACCAACCTTAACACCTTCTTCAGGTGTTAAGGATATTTCCAAGACCACATACACTCTCAATATGTTTATGTCCCTTGACCTGTACCCTCCTACCCTACCCGGGCTCACCAAACCTAGCTCTCCCCCCATCAATACCTTCCCCACCCTTTTGTGACCCGTTGTGTAGAAATACCTTGAACTCGTGGGTAGGGTAGTTGGATGGATGGATGATTACTTTTGTCTGTGACTAAACACAGAAAATCTTCAATACATCAAAGAAGTTGACCCTGGTAAAGCATTATGAGGCACTCCACACTACAGCCATCACACCTTCAGCAAAGAGTGAGCTAAGGGAGAGGGTGGCCACATAACACCAGCAGTGGAGCCAACCAACAAACTAGGCACCCATACACCAACACATACTCAAGACTGTACCTTCTCCAGGAGTAGTGACCTGGCTGCTTCAATCTGCTCTTTGCTTCCCTTGAGAACAATCTTCCTCATATCCTCTGTCACATTCACATTAAACATTGAAAACAAATAAATAGCATGCTCTAAAGACATAAATTTTCAAATAATTATTTTGGAAATACATATAATGTACTGTATCTATTCTAAAAATATAAAGGAATGTTTCAACGTACAGTTGCCCACATTTCCACCTGGTACAGTTAGCATTGCCAACCATCTCTCTCCGTGATGTATTAATCCAGAGAGTATCGAAGCATGATTCTGAAGCACTCATTCATTAGGGGAAGACTCTTGGAATGGCCCTAAGGAACCTTGCAATAGTGGCTAGACATTAGGGGCTCATCCACTAACTATGATTCCTGGTGTTTCATATAGTATTTGATTATCTACATGCAAATTATCAGGTTTTTTTTTTTAAATATTTATATCTGCACACATGTCATAAAGCCACCAATACAGTCTTTAACAAATACAGTAAGTGAACATACCCGGATTAAGCCATTCTTCACAGTGGCTCACTCATTCAATATTATATCACAGTGATATCTCTGTGAGCCGGAACAATTGGTGCAGAGCACTTCCGGGAATGACTTACGACTTACTCGACTAACGACCACCCGGACATACGACCGCCGGAGTCGTATAAAATATTTTTCAAATTACGTATTTTCTAGTACCGAAACGTTTCTGTCCCGTACAACAGCGTGGGCTGGGCCGCCTCGTGGTGTACAGCATCCACGCCGTAGCCCGCTCAGTTGGTGTTTGGCCGTCGTTGTCATTAGTGATCGCGCTGTGTACTGACAAAATTTTCGTTTCTAATTCCCTTTAAAATGGCTGGCAAGCGTAAAAGTGAGAATTCTCATGGTATTGATAAGAAAAGGAGACAGTCAATTACTTTTGAGATGAAAATGAAAATAATAATGCAATATGAAAATGGAAAAACGGTAGCAACCATTTCACGTGAACTTGGCTTCTCTCACTAGACGATATCAACAATTTTGAAGGACAAGGCAGTATTTTTTTGTTTCTCTCAAGTACCAAACTAAATTAATTCATTGAAACACTTCGATTTAGTGCGAATTCGGTTTAAGTCGACCTCTCTTGGAACGCATCTCATGTTATATCGACGTTCTACTGTACGTGCTAAGTTTGTATTGGTACTCACCGATGGACGGAGGTGGTAGAGCGAGTGTGTGGTGGGTAGTGAAGCAGAGGAGGCGGATGGCGGGAGGGGATGGAGTATGGCGAGAGTGGGGGAGGAGGGTGGTGAGTCACTGAGACTGCATCGAGCAAGAAGAGCGTAGCTCGGCCAGACGAGAGAGGGTGATGTGCCGTAGAAAGTAGTCTGTGACAACCAAAACAACGTAGTATCAGATCACCGGGATGTTAAACGAATTTTTGGTCTCTAAAGTTTAGAGATATACTGTAGTTCCAAAACAACGTTAGGCGGGACGACGTTAAGTGCGGACTTACTGTACAGGTATAGGCGACCTGTGATGTAATGGTCAGGATGCTCGCCTCGCAAGCTAGCAGATCCGGATTCAATCCCCGGGCTGGGTGAAATTAAGAGCAAGTTTTTTTACGCCATTTGCCTCTGTCTACCCAGCAGCAATTGGGAACCTGGATGTTAATCGATTTGCGGATCGTGTTCCGGGGGTAATGGTTAGCTAGTGCAGTTGGCGAGCTGTCCGGTCTTCTCGGACTATTCCTTGACACTGGTTAATGCAGGTCGTTAACTTAAGGTGTGTTGGCGACAGCTTCTACATCTTAAACAAATTCATGCCTAGGTGGCCCTTGGGCCGGCCATCCTCCTTACACGAGGGGTAATCATCAACACTTCTATTGTTTCATTTATTTACATTAAATAACATTAACTATAACATATATTCTTTTTTTCTACATTAATTATACTACAGCTACAACCAAGGTCTTATTTTCTTCAGTTTCATATGTAGAACCATCGTCATAGGTGTAAACACTAACGAAAACAATGCAGACTCATCTCCTCTTGTGTGTTTTAATATTCTACATATTATTAATGAATTGCATTGTTCATTTTGCACACAAACATCAAATTATTCAAATAGACATTCAATAATAAACAATAATGAATCTTTGGCACATACTGTTAATAAGGGAAATAACGCCATTTCCATGAGTGCGTACGTACATTCGTTGGCCTTCCGCTATAAGTGTTCTTTACCATCAGTGGTTACTTCTACTGTATGTACACCAAATAACATTAAATAAAAGAAACTTATTTATTTTCAATTAATTTTACTACAGCTACAACCAGGGTCTTATTTTCTTCAGTTCAGATGGAGAGCCATCGTCATGGATGTAAACACTGACAACAACAATTACGTATTGATTTATATTGTATAATGTGGATTAATAACCATTATTTAAAGAATATAGTTGGCATTTTTCATTAATTTTCCCTTTTTGAGGGAAAAGAGGGAAAAAGCCACAAAAAATATATGAAAATGCCACAATGGGGAATGCATCTCATTATTATTGCTTTATTTTAATGGTAAGTAATGATTCAAGATATGATTCACCTTAAACCGAAATATGGAAGACACATTACCATCGTTAGTCGAGGCTTTACTGTACATCATCTATTGAACCCGGAAAGAAATCCCCCATCCACGGAAATTTCTCAGAATTTTACAGTATGATTCATTATTTCATATCTCAAAGCTGGAAAAATATCTCCATCCATGGAATTTTCCAGAAATTTTTGGGTACTGGAAAAGTTTTCTTAGAATTTCTGGAAAATACGCATGATTTTCATCTCTCACACCCGGAAAAAATCCCCTATCCCCGGAATTTTCCGGGTACTGGGAAAATTTTCTCAGAATTTTGCAGAAAATGTGCCCCTCAGAAAATCATTCCCAAAGCTGGAATTTTCCAGAAAATTCCAGCTTTGGGAACAATTTTCCGAGAAAATTTCAATTACGGCTATCAGAGAGTTCTGGTTAAGAGGGATTCTGGCTAACTGAGATATTACTTAGTACAGTATATTATTCTAGCATACAGCTAATGCATATAAATAACATTTCTCCTTCTGTAATGGCACATTTGGTAAAACACTTAGCAAGGAGAGCATGAATGTTGCCCACATAATGGGAGTGGATGGAATATCATTTGAATATCAGCATTCACAGATTGAGGACACATTGTTAAACACAACAGTATGTAAGTGCACCTCTTGGTGAAGAGGACCTCCCACCCCTCTCTCTCCTTATATCACAACATTTCCTCATACAGCTACCAACTAGTAGCTAACAGGTTGGAACCAATGACATTCTACAGTATTTTGTAACATGTGTTAAAACTAAAGCCATGCAAGAAATGCACTTTGGAATCAAGCTTCATTACTCTCTTGGTTCATACATCAAGGAGAGAGAGGATTGGCAATGCTAACTGTACCAGGTGGAAGTGTGGGCAACTGTACAAAGTGGGATGAACATTAATATGTAACACATAGGTGTTCTACAGTACATGATCAGTATCATGTGTTAATTATCCCTAAACCAGGTGCGACTGTATAGTGTGCCTGTCATGCGTAACATGTTCAGTAATACTATGCATAAATTATGTGCACCAATTTTCTACCTTCACCTAAATAAATAAATATTTAGCTAATGTTTCTTTACAACAACTGAAGATATAACAATGAAAAGCGCTTAAGTAAAAGGCAACATTTAAGTAAAATATGTGGCACTTTTATAGTCATGTGCAGATTTTGCATTTCTCAAAACAGTATCATGAAACTGTACTGTATGTTTTACATGCTGTACTTAATACTGAGAAAAAGAACTATTGAAGCAAAATAAAAACTGAATAATACTAATTTGGATGTCATACTCTAAAATACTTTATAATTCCTTTATTCATTTGTATTAAGAATGATAGTAATTGGCCCAAATTTACCATATAATGTAAAAAAAACACGGATTCTTTTAATTGCGGTCTAAATTTTTGTAAATAGATTCTTGTTCTGTACATACATCACCAACAGCTTTGAAATATACAGTATATGTTGAATTGAACACAAATATGATGATGAATATTAAAAGACAATCAGAAGCATAACTACCCGTATGTGCAAGCAGTACAACACCAATAGTAAATTAAACAGTGTACATATAATACTAAAATGCCCAGCTTGTAAAAATTCCATGGGATTAAGTAAACAACCATATAAGAATATTTTAATATCACATATTCTCCACCTTCATCACTCAAAATAAATAAATAGTCAGATCCTACAAAATAAGGCTTCCTTATTAATATTTTTGCATACATAGAAAATCAAAATAAAAAAGGTAAATACACCTGTATATGATTCACTTTTCACTCACCAGGGTATGGAAGAGAGAGAGTCAGGTCTTCATCCCTATCCACAAAGACCTTTGCTCCACTAAGATGAGAGATTGTACGAATTGATTCTCCATTCCTTCCAATTACTCGACCAATGGCACCCTGAAACATAAAGGTGTGGTAATGATACCTACCTATTAACATGAACAACAATTCTCTATAACATTGCTTTCTGGCTAATATTGTGTACTGAATTATAGGTTATCCCTTAAAGAAAATTGAGCCTTTACTTCTAAATCCAACATTTTTAATTGTTTTCTTCAAGACATAAGGGATACAAGGAAGGGCCAGTTCTGCCCTGCCATCTGTTCATCAGTGGTGATTAAAAGTGCAAAATGGTGCCCACAAGTGAAAATCTTGAAAATTATTGTAATACTGTACTTATACAGTATAATGTAGATCTAATTACATTACTAAAATTTGAAATAATTATAGCTAAAAAAATATCTACAGTAATACCCCGATTTACGCGATCAATTGAACCCGCGGAGTAGCGCGTAAAACGAGAAACGCGTAAATGGAATAACAGAACATATGGGATTACAGTCGACCCTCATTAAAACGGACCCCTTTAATCCAGATATCGGATAAATAGGACGAAATCTGAATTAAGCGAGGGACTGTCCGTGTCAAAATTCTGGTTCTGGGATTGTCCGATAGATGGTGCGCACGCCAAACCGCCAGTCATTGTTGACTTAGCGCCATATTCAAGTATCAATGTTGTGTTGCCCTGCAAGTTTCGTTGATATTTCAGTGATTAGGCATCTTTCAGCCTTGTATTTTACATCATGTCTTCAAGGGGGAGTAATATGCCGAAGAGGAAGTATGTGACCCTTTCTGTGAACCAGAAACTGGGACTTATAAGGAAGTTAGAGGCTGGTGCTTCGGTGGCTAGAGTTTGTGACGAGTATGGTGTTAAAAAGCAAACAGTTTTGGACATACGCAAGGCTAAGGACAAACTCACTGCATTTTCTTTGAAATATACTGTTGATGCAAATTCTAAATCATCATCTGTTGGTGCAAGGAAGCGTATGAGAGTGGCAAAAGATACAAATCTTGAGGAGGCAGTGATGAAGTGGTTTGTGCAGCAACGATCCTAAATTAACCTAAATCGGTTAATTCGGACAATCGGCTAAAACGGACACCCTTCCCCCTTCCTATTAGTCGGTTTTAACAAGGGTCGATTGAAATAGAGACTGGGCCGACTCCCAAACTCCACTTTTTCAGACACAATACCTACGTTGTAGTAAAAATAACATCTTAATTTTATCATGGTATGCACACACAATTAATAATTAAGAGAATTATCAATACTATTAGGTTTTTTAACACTTACATTAGTAGAAAAGATGGCTGGGCACACGGGCAGAGGGCAGATTATTGGCCCTCACCTGTATCACTTGTATCAATTGTATCACTATCCACCACAGAGGCTTGCAGGGCCTCTTTGTCAAACCCCTCAAAGTCCATATAAGTCCATATCATCACTATCACTGACTTGGGCCGGCTGTGGTGGGTGAAGAACTCGGTAATGTTTTGATGACTAGGCGACCTTGTGCGGACCCTGCCCGCGCCGCTTCCCGCGTACTGTATACGAGTAGATGCACCGCGTAAAGTGGGCATTCCGGTTCTGGCGGGGTACCGCATAAATGTGGAAACACGTAAACGAGAACCGAGTAAACTGAGGTATTACTGTATATACCTTAATAATTATCAGTAGTACCTGATTTACAAAGATTCACTTCATATAAATTCAAGTTAAGAAAAAATTGTCCCATGCTTTATGAATGAAAAGCCAGAAGTATTAATTATTTTGTTCCCCTTTTCAAAATTTTTCCTTATTAATTATCGGAATACAGTATACTAATCAAATGCATTTTTTTTAATACAGCACTGTACTAGTACACAGGGGGTCCCTGACTTACGAACGCCCGCCGATACAAACGCGTTTAAATTTATTTTTACAGTGTTGTACAGTATTTTGCTTACCCAATGATTTATTTTTTCTTTCATTTACTGTATTTTGTCAATCTATTTCTTCTTTTCTCAATTAAGTGATTTTAGATGTATACGAGGACTTAGGCCATAATATAGTGGGATTTTAAACATTGTTCTGTAAGTACGGTATGCACATATAGCATGTACTTCAACTTATACATTTTCGACTTGAAAAACATCCTCAGGAATGGAATCTGTTCATAACCAGGGGATCCCCTGTACTTACTTATACTAACTTATGTCATTATTCTCCAACACTCACAATGTTTGCAAATAAGCTTTCAGTGTGTCCCCATTCTCCAAAGTACAGTCACCATATACATTTAATTGCTCCTCAAACTCATATCATTGGCACTGCCTGTGCAAATGATGAACTGTGGAAAATGCACAGTAATAATTCAACAATTCCCTGACAACTACACACAAAACCTTATCTAAATGAAAGGTGAAGGTCTATAAGATAGAAAAGAAAAAAAAAAGGATGGAGTGAGAACTGTGTGCAGTGTTGCCTTTGGACAATGTGGTCCTGTATTGACAACGTATAATTAAAATATGTAAACAAACCTGTGCGAATAAATGTGTACTGTACGAGGTGCATCTACTGGCTGGGGCTGTCACTTACATCTTGCAATATGTAACAAATTATTTTGCCCCCCCATTCACCCACCCAATAGCTATACCACTGCTCACACCACCACATACATAGTCATTTGCCTGATGATCCAATTTCTCCTCACTTATTCTCATGTAATACAGTGAACCCTTGAAGATTCGAACCCTGTAAATCCAGATTTTGGAAGATTCGGTGTATGGGCGGCAACGAGTAGGAGGGTTGTCCTACACTCGTTTGCTGGTCTGTGACCCCCACTAGGAGAGGGGGGGTTAGATGGAGGTGAGAAAGTCGCTGCTGCCTCGTGACACTGGCAGATTCTACCCAGCCGTCAATACAGTCATACCTCCCAGCTGTTCATCAAATTCTGGCTGTGATCTCATCATAGGTCCTGGACTCGTGGGCTGTTTCCCCAGACCTTCATATATCAACTGTCAATCCCTGGACACCTACCCCAACCACTACTGCAGCTGCCACGTCATCGCCAGTTCCTCTCCACCATCTGTGCCCCCGGTGTTTCTCCTGCTGTAGAAAGACATCAGCCACCACCACTCGAGTGAGGAAGCCTGACTGGACCATCCCCAGGGCCGCTGCCGTAGGAAATATCTGTTCATTGTTTGATTCTATTGTTTGTTTGATTCCATTAATTGCTGACTCCCATTAATTGTTCGATTCCATTAATTGCTGACTCCCATTAATTGTTCGATTCCATTAATTGCTGACTCTCATTAATTGTTTGATTCCATTAATTGTTGACTCCCATTAATTGTTTGATTCCATGAATTGTTTGATTCCATTAACTGTTTGACTACATTAATTGTCGATTCTCATAATTGTTGATTCTCAAAATTGTGTGACTCCCGTAATTGTTATTTCATGTTTGTTGAGTGGTGTCAGAGTTTTGTGTTATATTTTTATAGTAAAGAGATGTCAATCTCGAACGGTTGTTTGTTATTCCTCGGAAAACCATGGTTCTTGACTTTCCTTTTAGAAGATCCTGATTAGACTGGTAAGGGATTTCTATCCCTAAGTCCCAGGCCTTTACATTCAGACAAAAAATTTGGGGGTTCTGGACTAAGAAGCATTCTCAAAACAGGGTGAAGGTAGTTATAGGCTTAAAAGTTTTTTCTTATAAAATGTCACAGATTAAACTTAGCAGAATATAACTTGCATTGCTGGAATCCTTGCAAGATAGTGAATAATTTCAGTATAGGTATCACATAGTTTGCACAAAAGATAAATTTTTAGTCCTTTAGTGTATAGTACTGTACATTTGAGTACAAGGTGAGTACAGTAATGTTGCTCAAAATTATGGCTTTTTCACAGGAAAAAGATTGTATAACTAACCCCAGTGGTCAGGTTAATATGTACAGCGTACTGTATTTTTGTTTTGTTTTATACCATTATTTATCGTTTTTATACATTAGTACATTCGCTGGAAGATTCGGATAATCGGCTTTTTCGGACAGGTGGTCCCCCTTTTAGTCCGGGTCTTCGAGGGTTCACTGTATGTGGAAAAACTAAATAAAAGAAAATAATCCTGTACAGTATTCTTAAATTTCATATGCTATATATGTACAATAAAGGTGTAGAGTTGTAAGAGAGTGTTTATTATTGGCTTATCAGCACTATGTACAATTCTTTTATTTTTATTTTATGACATTCTAAACCTTCTTTCATAAGAACATATCTCGGTTTTTCTTTGGGTGTCTTGGGCAAATGTCCTTTGATTTATGAAAAATCATTTTACAAAAGATTTTCAAGAATGGAGCCCTTTTGTAAATTAGGGAATACCTTTACAAGAACTAAATAAAAGTAAATGCTATGTGACAACTTTACTACACATGCAAAATAATTAGTGAAAATAACTGGCATTTACTGTACTCCAGGTGATACACACACACCTATAACCTCTTGCCTCTAAGTGAAACATTCATATCATTTTATCTAATCTATGACCTCTAAAGGTTACAATTGTGACCTTATTTTGGGTTGGATTTTTGGCACTCGTCCTTAGGTCAAAATCAGGATCACATTGCAAAATGCCTTTCATATGCAATACAGTACCCTATAAAAAGATTAGCAAACTATTATTATATACCATATTACCCCAATCCCACTATAATGTTCTGTGGGTAATTTAGGGTAGAATGTCATAACTGATGATGGAAATACAGTGACCCCTCGGTTAACGAACTCAATCCGTTCCAGAAGGTCGTTCGTTAACCGAAAAGTTCGTAAACCGAAACCATTGTTTCAATGGGTTTTTGGGTAATTGGTTCCAGCTCACCGAAAATTTCCTAAATTCAACAAAAATGGTAGAAAAGTTCACTTACTTTGAGGTGTGTATGTAGAAGGCTCCTGGATGATGATGATGATGATGGGAATTAGAATGGGGGTGGAGGAGAAGGAGGAAGAAAAGGCATTGGGGTGGAAGAGAAGTCACCCCATGGCACCATTTCATCCATAAAATTTTAGTTCTCTTGGTGTATTTCAAGATTATTTTCTTTAAATCAACACTGCACTGCATTATATATTGTCAATATGTAAAATATATTTCAAAATGACCAATAATTTGCTTGGAAACACAGAAAAAAAGCGTTTAGTTGAAGAGAGTCTCAAGCAAGATGTTACCTCCACTGAAAACAGAGAGAGACTAACGCCTGTCTGGTGTGTTAACAGGCTGGATGGCACGCCAGAAACTAGTTTCTTTACCTTCAATTATGTTCAATAATTGTTAAAATGACTAAAAAAGTTAATATTAAACTTTTAAAATTATTGAATAGTATAAACTTCTTGATATTTACTAAAATAGTAAGGAATTTAAGCCCTAGAACCGATTAATGTATTGGTGGACTGATACTAAAGCTGGTTGCCCGGTCAGTGCAAGCGAAAACATGTTGTGGTCGGTTCGTAAGAAATTCGTTAACCGAATTTTTGTTCGTTAACCGAATTGAAGATCCTTATGGAAGGCAGTTCGTTAACCGAAATTTCGTTAACCGAGGCGTTCGTTAAACGAGGGGTCACTGTACTGCATTGGTGTTCCTCACCATGGGACAACCACGTAAAATGAAAAAATATTAATGCATTTGTTAATCTCACTGATGCACAATGTCATATCAAACTGCTATAATAAGGGTCTACAGCAGGGATTCAAAAGCTGTTGCCTTGGAGCACCACTATCCTCCCTGATTGTTACCGCCATGCACAATTGTGCGCGTCAGCAACATGTGTAAAAGATACAGGCAGAATAGAAAGAATAGGAGGAAGAAGTGAAGATGAGAGGGGGTCAGAGAAGGAGGTAGAGAGGTGGAGCAATGAGACTGTTTACAACTAAGATAGCTGACCAAGTGATCGAAATGAAAAACACGTTGTCCCGACGGGCCCACAGCTGCCCATGAGACAGCCTGGGGGTAGACTATCGCCTTCTCCTGTAGAGGCAACATGTTGATTCTCGTCAGTCGACATTTCTCCTGTACGACATCGTCTTTGTTCTCGTTGGTCTACCCCTAGACCAGTAACACACGAGTGTGATTGTGAACTGTTGAATCCTTTGAGAACACTAAACGACTTGAATAATTGTAATTATGTACTGTACATTGATCATGTTGTTCAAACTGTGTGTCCTCATGTATCAGCAGTTGTTACATATGAGATGTATTCAACAGGCTTTGACCGAATTATATTCTTCGTGTCAACGAGCAGGGTCTTATTGTCCTGCAGCCACAATCACTTCAATAAGCGGTTACACTAATAGTTTGGCAGGTCTCTTTTACAGTGCTTAAAATCACTAAAGACTTTTTTGTGAGCACCAGTTCTAGATTTAGAACATCCCCTTATACAGTAACTTCTCACTTACAGTTATCATACAGATCATCTTAAAACACCTGGTGCTCATCTGATTAAAATAAGGTTGGGAACCCCTGGCTCTACACTGTTATCTGCCAACAGCAAGTCCACCAAAAAAATAACATTCCAACCAAATTATATGAATATCATTTCCCCACTAAAGGAGACTGCATACTTATACTACCCCTGTTAGTTGGAACAAATGCTGCAGAGCTTTTCTAGGTTTGAGAGATTTCTGGGTATTGAGACAAATTCTCTTACCTCTGGAAAAAATTGCAAATTTACAGAATTTTTTGGGGTATTGATGAATGTTTCCATGTCTATACTACACATCTGGCATAGAACTTTGTTGCTATGGAGGTTAAACTGTAGTCAGACATACACACAGCTGTATTCATTTATGCAAACATTACTGTACATGTAGAGTATTTTGTAAATAAAAAAAAAATGCTATACTGTACTGTATACACTATAGTACTGTACTCACCAGCAAATGCTGTCTTTGAGCTTGTGAGCAGACAGGCAAAATGGCGATACTGTATGATGATACAGGATGGTATACCTTTGTCCTATACCATCTAGAGTAGCAGGTGTTGCTAACTGTCACCCTTCACTCCCTACTTCACATGCACCCTCTACACCAGTGGTCCCCAACCAGTAGTTCGCGGGCGCCACATGGAACCATATTATGGAGCCCGCAAGGGTTTATTAGAAAACTGCGAAATAATTGGGAATCTCTGTCAGAGTGAAAATAATGAAACTAAGTAATAACTTGATATGACTTTAGAGAGGGGAACCCCGTTTGTCCCAAATCTGTCGTGTACAGGATGTGTGGAGTGATATCTCCATTAGCCGGAACAATTGGTGCAGAGCACTTCTGGAAATGAGAGGTTTCCGGGTAACGAGACGACTTTATCAAAGCTGGAAAAAAAATCCCCATCCTTGGAATTTTCCAGGTAACGGAAAAATGTTCTCGGAAGTTCCAGAAATTGCCCATTACATCTTCTGTCGAACCCAGAAAAATATCCCTCATCCCCGTAATTTTCCAGGTAATGGAAAAATGTTCTCTGAAGTTCCAGAAATTGCCCATTACAACATCTCTCATACCCGGAAAAAACTCTCCCATCCCCGGAATTTTCCGGATATTGAGAAAATTTTCTCAGAATTTTAGGGAAAATGTGCCCCTTGGAAAATCGTTCCCAAATCCAGAATTTTCCAGAAAATTACAACTTTGGGAACAATTTTCCGATAAAATTTCAATTCCGGCTATCAGACAGTTCAGGGTTTGAGGGAGTCTGACTAACGGAGATATTACTGCATTTACCACAGACCGGACCCAGAGAGAGCTAGCATGATCCAAGAGTAAATGTAAAAATTTTGTATCTGGTAACAGTTAAACAGTTTGACTAGTGTAAAACTGAAAATACTGTAACTGTATACAGTAGAACATCGATTTAAAGCGATTCAATTGAAGATTATAGATTTAAGGCGACACCCACAATTAAGGACAATGTTTTAATTTAAAGCGAATCTTTCCTATTTTGCGCGAGTCAATTTGGTGCATCATATTTTAAAATTCACGCCTAATGTTTCTCTGGGCACACCACACTGTCCTAAGGGCAAAGCTGTACTGTACATGTACTCAAAAAATGTACTAAATTATTACAAAATTTTTTGTCTAGTGCAAACTACTGTATAGCATGATTACCTGTATATTCAAATTAATCACTATGCTATAAGAATTCCAGCAATGTAAAGTATATTCTCCCCTGTCACTTCCATGACATTTTATAAACAAAGTACAAAAAATCAATCTAAAGGACATAAATAAACAAATAAATACTTCACTAGACCGTCGGCCCCCAACTGTCAAACGTGTCACTGTCATCCCTCCCCCACCCCCATCTTCCCAGCCCGGGTTTGGTGATTTTAGGCTTTAAGTTTTTATCTTATATAATATCACAGACTAAAGTTAGGAGAATATAATTTGCATTGCTAGAATCCTTGCAAAACAGCGAATAATTTGAATATAAACGTCATATATTTTGCACAAGAGGTAAAAATTCTAGCCCTTTGTAATAAAACTAATGAGAACATGTCAGTTCAGTGACATTTTATAGAGAAAAACTTAGTCACTCTTAAGGACAGATAAATAAATAAGCACTAAACCTTGGCATCAACTGTCAAACATGTCACCTCACCTCCCCCCCACCCAAATCTTCCCATCAGCTGTTCGTTAGTAAACAGACTATTTCATGTCCCATAATTTTAGCTGTGTTGATTTATGAGTGTTTGTTTTAACATAATACTACAAAAAACAATGTTTTGTTTATTCTAGGAAATGGGCTGAGGTGCATCTGGGTAGACTCTCAGTCTTTTTAGTATTTTGTTTCTCTCAGGTACCAAACTAAATTATTCCATTGAAACAACACTTCGATTTAGTGTGAATTCGGTTTAAAGTGACCTCTCTTGGAACGTATCTTGTGTTATATCGACGTTCTACTGTACTGTATATGATCTTTGTTTTTTTCTTTTTTTATCTTGAATGTAGATCCAAAGTTTTGGCACCCTCCACTATATCTACAATGACAAATGTAGTCCAGAGCCTACAAAAGGTTAGGGACCACTGATTTACACACTAGCCTGCAGTAGGCAAACACTATCCACTGTACATATGGTACAGTTACAGTTATTGAATGTACAGTACAGTATATGTAACCGTAATCACATTTTACGTCTTAACACTGCTTTAACGGTATTCATGGCTGATTGTATCCTAGTACAGTAATGTACAGTGCTGTCAATACATATTATATGCGAAAACAGCAGTGAGTGACCGAACACACTCGTACAATGGCAGCAGACAATGAATTAAGAGTGTCAGGATGCTAAAGTTTCAGGAGATAGACTACAAGATACATCAGGCATGGACACTCTGAGCCTACCAACCCACGTGCTCGGCAAGTGTCGGCACATGATGCAGTCACTCTGAAATTCATTTGAATACCCAGAATGGAGAGTTTTCTCTGAATTTTTCAGAATCCTAAAATTCTATTTTCCAGGTAATGGAAAGTTCCAAGAATCAAATATTTTGGCTAAGGGGGATACAGTATTACTGTATACTGATGAAAGTGCAAATTCTATCAATATAAATTTTAATCAACTCAATATCCTGATTACTTTTAACACACTTTACAATATGAAGTACCGGGCACAAACAAATACATATACAGGTACTGTACTGGACTGTACCTGTACTGTAGAAGTAATCAGTACACTACTTACATAAGGTACCAACATTTCTGTGGTTTCAATCACAGGTTGTTCATTGACAGTCTTGAGGATCAATGTTTGAGCCAAGGTGATATTTTTCTCCAAGCCACTGATGACACACAGACGATGGCCTTCCTCTCCTAATGAGAAATAGTCAACATTTTCAGTACATATACAAAATGATAACAGGTGCTATTCTTGTACAGTATCCTATCAAACAAGGGTATTTTATTGTCCCTACAAGTGAACATAAGAATGAATATACTGTACTCCATTTTCACTACCGTATCAGTGCAAAATTCCCTTAAAAATAAAAATTCACACTGACTACTGTACTCCATATTCTAGGCCACATTGGTTCCCAACCTGGGAGGCATTTGAGATTCCTAGGGGAAGGAATGAGGTGGTCAATGGTCAACATATGCCATTCAAATATAAATTCCTAAAGATATATATGGGTAATTAACTTCGTAAGGGAAAACTTGACATCCGTCATCTCAGCGGCACCTCATGTAGTATTGCCATAAAAACGTCAACCTATTTTAAGCCGTGCGTGATCCGTAGTCAGTTGGCAAGTAACTGTCAAACGGGGAAGGTACATATGGGGGGGGCGCCATGGATACAGGGTTGACCAAAGGGGGGCGCAGTGCCAAAAAGGTTAGGAACCACTGTTCTAGGGTGACTTAAAACATTATTAATTATTTATTTCATACCAATAAGTTGAGGAAGATTAAAAATAAGGGAAACATGGTGAAAATAGGGGTTAAGGCATGTGGCAATGGAATTTTATTTATTTATGTTTTTTTTAATCTTTGAAAGGATCAATATTACGTGGGATTTGGCCACCCATAGCAGCAAGACCAGCTCATCACCTGCTGACCTGGCCTTGTGAATACCCCAAGTATGGTTATCCATAGGGATTAGGAAAGGGGAGGTCTGTAAACCCTTACCTGAGAAACCAGTTCTTGACCATATGACCTGGACGGCCACACCCACACCTCAATATTGTGTCCCACACTGACCTGGGAATCCAGCACCAACACTAATGAGGCTCAGTCTCTGCTTCTCACTTAAGAGGGCGTTACTGTGGTTTTGCAGAATCTATACTTATGTGTTGTTGCCCCCAACCCATAATTTTTAAGTGAAAATTAGTGAATCTAAGAAGAGAAAAGCTGAAGCAGAGTTTCGAACATTCAACAAGGAATGGACTTCTAAACATTTATTTAGCAACGTGGATGGAAAAGCAGTGTGTTTAATTGGCAAAGAAAGTGTGGCAGTGCTAAAGAATTACAACTTAAATTGCCATTTTGAGACCAAGCACTCCAGTAAATATAAAAAAAACATTATGATGAAGAAAAGAGGAAGAAAGCTAATGAGATGGATGCTCAATTACAACAACAGAAAAGTATTTAAAAAAAACCAATTTGCATCCCAGGATGATATTACAAGAGTGAGTTATGTGAGTGCTCACAAAATTGCCCAAAACAGCAAGCCATTCTCTGAAGGAGAATTTATAAAGGAATGTATGGTTGATTCTGCCTCTATTTTATGTCCAGACAAGAAAAACCAGTTTGAGAAAGTAAGTTTGTCAAGGCGAACAATTGTAAGATGTGTAGAGGACATCGCTGAGAACATGTATCTGCAGTTTAAAGATAAAGTAAGGACTTTTGAATACTATTCACTGGCACTTGATGAAAGTTGTGATGTCAGACACACAGCGCAGTTGTTAACTTTCATTCGAGACATCACCAAAAAATTTTAGATCACAGAAAAATTGGCATCAATACAGCCACTGAAAAATACAACAACTGGAGAAGACTTATTGGAGGCACTAAATAACTACTGTATATTTTGAAATTAAGAGTAGAGTGGGAAAAAATGGTAAATGTGACCACCGATGGAAATCTAACAGGTAAGAATGTTGGATTGCTGAAAAAAATTCAAGATCAAGTCACAGAAACAAATGCAGAACAAAATAAAGTCTTTCTACACTGCATTATTCATCAAGAGGTCCTTTGTTAAGTGTTTTAAATTTAAGCCATGTCTTGGACACAGTTGTAAAAGTGGTTAATTACATTTGAGCAAGAGGATTAAATCACAGACAGTTTATAACCCTGTTTGAAGACTTGGAATCTGATCATGCGGATGTTCTCTATCGCACAAATGTGAGGTGGCTTAGTTTGGGAACTGAAAGAAGAGACTGGCTTATTTTTGGACATGAAACAGAAAACTATAAATTTCCCACAGTTGAATGATGAGAAATGGCTCTCCAATTTTGCATTTACTGTTGATATCATGGGTCATATGAATGACCTGAATTCAAAGCTACAAGGGAAGGGGGCTTTAGCACATGATTTATACAACAGCATCAAGGCTTTTATGAAGAAATTACTTTTGTCTCATCAGATGACAAACAAACAGTTTGCTCACTTTGCAACCTTACAACAGATTGCAGTTTGTGATCAAAATATACAGAAGTACTCATTGCAACATACTTGACTTGCATGCCTAATTTTCACACCAATTGCAGGATTTCAAATTAATTGAAAATGACCTGTTTTTGGTGTCTTCTCCCTTCTCATTTCAAGTTGACAAAGCCTCATTTGACCTACAACTCGACCTTATAGACCTGCAATGTGATTCTCCGTTTCCTGAACAGATGAAATCAGTGCTTCTTCCCAAATTTTAAGCCTCTCTTAATGACTGTGCATTTCCAAAACTAAAGGCTCGTGCCCAAAGAATGCACGTGCTGTTTGGATCTACATACAGTGGTTCCTCGGTTAACGAGCACAATCCGTTCTAGAAGGATGCTCGTTAACCGAAACCATCGTTTCAATGGGTTTTTGGGTAATTGGTTCCAGCTCTCCGAAAATTGCCTAAATTCAACAAAAAAGGTAGAAAAGTACACTTACTTTGAGGTGTGTATGTAGAAGGCTCCTGGATGATGATGGGAATTAGAATGGGGGTGGAGGAGAAGGGAGAAGGGAAGGCATTGGGGTGGAAGAGAAGTCACCCCATGGCGCCATTTCACCCGTAAAATTTTAGTTCTCTTGGTGTAATTCAAGATTATTTTCTTTAAATCAACACTGCACTGCATTATATATTGTCAATATATAAAATAAATTTCAAAATGACCAATAATTTGCTTGCAAACAGAGAAAAAAAGCGTTTAGTTGAAGAGTCTCAAGCAAGATGTTACCTCCACTGAAAAGACACAAAGACTGACGCCTGTATGGTGTGTTGGCAGGCTGGATGGCGCGCATGAAACTAGTGACCCTACCTTCAATTATGTTCAATAATTGTTAAAATGACTAAAAAAATTAATGTTAAACTTTTACAATTATTGAATAGTATAAACTTCTTGATAATTACTAAAATGGTAAGGAATTTAAGCCCTAGAACCGATTACAGGTTGTACCTCTCTAGTCCAGCAACCTCAGGACCTGACCGGTGCCGGATCATGGAAATTGCCGGACCATGGAAATTCACCCTTTTCCTGGATAGATAGTGACTTGTGCTTATGCTTGGAAGCACTAGCACCACTTTCTCTGCATCATGGTCTCTTTGAAGACATATTGAAGGGTTAAATGTCATATAGTAGCTTCTCAAATTTCGCGAGTTTTTAATTCTTAACGTATTTTATTGGAACACACAAAGAATTAATAAAAAAAAATTTTGAAGGCGGAAACTTGAATTTCGACGGGTTTGAACGGCCCGCCAACGTGCAGACGACGTGCATAATCGTGTAAACAGCGTCATTTCTCTTATGTACAAAAGATTCATTATTGTTTATTACTGAATGTCTTTTTTATTGAATTAATGTTTATGTGTGCAAAATGAGCAATACAATTCATTAATAATACGTAGAATATTAAAACACACAAGGAAATGACACAGCATTGTTTTCGTTGATTGCAAAGCCAGTGACTGACTGGTTCTACATATAAAACTGAAGAAAATAACACCTTGGTTGTAGCTATAGTAAAATTAATATGGTTGTTTTAAGTAATGTTATTTAATGTTAATAAATGGAACAATAGAAGTAGCTAACGATAATGGTAAGGAAAAAAGAGAGATCGCATATGTAAGTGCGCATGCGCACACATGAAAACATATCGTCATTACATAAGAATATGAAAGCAACACTTATTTACTGTTCATATATATTTTAATTAATGTTTCTGAATTTGTTTTTATTGAATTAATGTGTGTGTGTGCAAAATTAACAATACAATTTATTAATAATACGTGGAATATTAGAGGATACGAGACGGCTGCCGGCATTGTTTATGTTAAAGTTTACGAAACCAGTGACTGATTGGTTCTACATATAAATCTGAAGAAAATAAGACCCTGATTTTAGCTGCAGTAAAATTAATGTAAAAAAATTAATATGGTTGTTTGAAGTACCTGTAATGTTATTTAATGTTAATAAATGGAACAATAAAGTAGCTAACCATTAATGGTAAAAAAAAAGTGAGACTGCGCGTATGTAAGTGCGCACATGTGAAAACATATTGTCATTACTCTACATAAGAATATGAAAGCAACACTTATTTACTGCTCATATATATTGAAGGGTTAAATGTTGTACTCTGTATAGACAAGCAGAGAGAGAGAGCAGCCGAACTGCCGGATGTAAACAAACCTTAATTTCCCGCGGCTTTGTTTTTTTTTTTAAGGGGATTAGCTCACCCGGGCATCGGTAACTGACCCACATTGGGGCCTGAGGGGCAAAACTTTATACTCCTGTAATAATAATTCAGATAATAGCAAACTAAAATTTCCTATCTACCTATTGGACAAACTAAAATCGTTCCGGACCACGGGAGTTTCCGGACCACAGAATGCCGGACTAGATAGGTACAACCTGTACTGTATTGGCGGACTAATACTACAGCTGGTGGACCACCAAATGCAAGCGAAAACATGTTCAGGTCGGCTAGTAAGAAACTCGTTAATCGAGGGCTTGCTCGTTAACCGAAGTTAAGAATCTTATGGAAGGTAACTCGTTAACCGAAATCTCGTTAACCGAGGGACCACTGTATATACGTTAGCAGACATTTTCGGTAATGAAGCTAAATAAAAAAAACTTAGATCTGCAATGACTGATGATCACCTTGAATGAGTACTTTTCATTGCAACAACAGAGGTAACACCTCACTTCAATGGTCTGGTCAGCAATCATCACCGCTGGCATTCATACCACTGAGTAAGTTAAATATTCTTATAACATATGAACAACTTCAAATCTTACATAATTACATATTGGTCTTTTAACTTGCTTTTATTTATTTATTTCTAACCAACAAAACATAATTTTATTACTTTTTATTTATCAAGAAGAACCAATAAATATTTTATTTTATTCATTTTATTTATCAAGCAGAGTTCAGCAGTGACAACGTGGATTAGGGACATCTACAATCAGACCTGGACGACTTCACCAAACCACCACCACCTCCCTAGGGAAGCTGGAAGAAGCAGGATTAGCTGTGATCAGACCTGACCAACTCAACCCTATCACTACCTCCCTGGGGAAGAGTAAAGACAATGTCTCAAGAGAAGAATTTCAGCAAGCAAGATCGATTCTGTTCTACAGGTATTATGTTGATCCACTTAAAGTACTAATTATACTGCACCTTAACTCTATGTTATTACTACACGTAGTAGTATTAATACAGTTTTAGTATTTGTATTAGCATTATTATTAATAATAAAATAGACAAGCTGAGAAGTGATATAGTATTTATTTACCCAAAATATCTATGTTTGTTACTTAATATTTTCCTTACATCCGATATATACAAATACGTACAAGGCTTTACTTTATGCAAATATTATGCATTTGCATTTCTATTAAATCTGAGGCCCGAGAAGTGTACCACCATTCATGAAGTGGCACGCCACTCAAAATAATTGCCCACCCCTGGGTTAGGGTATACAGTATACAGGTACATGACAAAATTCAACAGGGGTAAACATGTCTACAAAAGCATTAGATGGAGAGTTGCTGTACAAGGAAACGTGTACAGAAATGAATAAGTTTCACTTATACAGTACGAACAAATACCATTAAACAGTACATACCTTCATCAGAAATCCTTATATTTGTGTTTGTACGATCCTGAATTAATTTAATATTCGCGCCTTGGCGTCCAATTACAAGTCCAACAGCATCAACTGGAACTTGCACCTGTACAGTTGACCAGTGGTTAACTCTGGCAGTAACCAGTTTAATTTCATCTTCATCCTGCAAATGAAGTTTATTTTGAATTGCTTTTGCACACAGTACAGCACTATACATACGGTGTCTACATCCCTAAAGTTCTTAACATATCCATAATACAGTGAACACTCAAAGATCCGGACTAAAAGGGAGACCACCTGTCCAAAAAAGCCGATTGTCCATATCTTCCAGCGAATGTACTAAATGCATAAAAACGATAAATACCGATATGAAAAAATACAGTACAGTACTGCAATTTATGGCAAGGAGTATTTAGAAAAAATCTGTTGTGTGTATTTTCCCCCTGTTGCTATAGTTTTCTTAAAATACACCGTATAGAAAAGCCTCCCATAATGACGGTTCTACTAACAACGATTCATATTTAAGACCCTGGTTAATTTAGGACCCAATTCAATTTACACCATTATTTTCTTCGTGTTTGCGACAAAAATATTATTAAAAAATAAAGTAAAATTACATTTTCATATAAATAATAACTTAAATCCCAATATGTAATATACAAATATAAAAAAAAAACACGCTTTGTGCAAGGAGACTGCCGGGCTTGTGAGTGTGACGCCAGCATCACTAGTATAAACAGTCTCAGCTGAACAGGAAAAGGAGAAAAACATTCTCAGGTTTCTTACGGCATTTTTTGTGTCCCTATTCAACATGAGCAAGAGAGCAAGATATGATAGGGCTGGTTCAAAAGCTAAAAGAAAGTGTATACTGTAAGCTTAGCTGAGAAACTAGAGATGTTAAAACGATATGAAAAAGGTAAGAGTTCTGTGGATATTGTATTATGTGGAGCAAGCAATGAACATAATATTATTTTCTAAAGTGGATCCATTAACAGAACGAAGCATTAAAATTAACAGTGACATGAAAAACACATATGACCTCTACATAAAGATGTACAGTATAATGGGAAAAGAAAGCTGCTGTGAAAGGTTCTTTCGACAGCTTTATTATTCAAAGGCCTAAACCATCAACTTCAGCTACACCATCAAATTCAGCATCAGCAACAACTTCAGGTTCAGTAACAGTTTCAGCAACAGCTATAATATGATATCTTTATGGAAAGCTTCAGCTTCAGCCAGAGTTGAACATGATTGACGAAATCATCTGAGTAAAAACTCGCACAATATTCATTGGGTGTCCTTATATTTTAGACTTTACCACCATTGGTGAGTAAATTTTTTTTTTAAATTAGTAAGTACAGTATTATTTGAAACATATAGGTATGAACAGTAATAGGTGTTTTCACATATACGCACATCAATTGTTCCATTTATTAACATTTAATAACATTAATTAATACAGTGATCCCTCGGTTAACGAGCGCCTCGGTTAACAAAATTTCGGTTAACGAATTACCTTCCATAAGATTCTTAACTTCAGTTAACGAGCATTCCCTCGATTAACGAATCCTTACAAGCGCCCCTCAACATGTTTTCGCTTGCATACTAGCTGTCGTATTAGTCCGCCAATACAGTAATCGGTTCAAGGGCTTAAATTCCTTAATACTGTATTTTAGTAAATATCAAGAAGTTTGTACTATTCAATAATTTTAAAAGTCTTAAATTAAATTTTTTAGTCATTTTAACAATTATTTAACATAATTTAAGTACAGGGAAACTAGTTTTTAGCGCGCCAAACAGCCTGTCAACACACCAAACAGGCGTCAGTTTCTGTGTCTTTTCAGTGGAGGTAACATCTTGCTTCAGACTCTCTTCAACATAAACGCCTTTTTTCTATGTTTCCAGTTAAATTATTGGTCATTTTGAAATTTATTTTACATATTGACAATATATAATGCAGTGCAATGTTGATTTAATGAAAATAATCTTGAATTACACCAAGTGAACTAAAATTTTATGGGTGAAATTGCGCCATGGGGTGCATTCTCTTCTCCCTTCTCCTCCACCCCCATTCTAATTCCCATCATCATCATCCAGGAGCCTTCTACATACACACCTCAAACTAAGTGTACTTTACTACCTTTTTTGTTGATTTTATGCAATTTTCGGTGAGCTGGAACCAATTACCCAAAAACCCATTGAAACGATGGTTTCGGTTAACGAGCAACCTTCTGGAACGAATTGTGCTCGTTAACCGAGGGACCACTGTACACACATACAGAGTATGTATTCATTTTTTTAACATTAATTTGACTACAGCAACAAACAGGGTTTTATTTCTTCAGTTTCTTATGTAGAAGTAGGACCATCGTCATTCAACACGGGTGTTGTAAACGTGAACAAATATAATGCCGTCTCGTCTCCTCTTGTGTGTTTTAATATTCTACGTATTATTAATGAATTGCATTGTTCATTTCGCATATATAAACATTCATTCAATCAAATACATATTCAGTAATAAACAATAATGAATCTTTTGTACATATTCTTAAGATAAATGACATGGTTTCCTTGAGGGCGCAAGTATATATTGCCGTTCCACTATCACTCTTTTTTTTCTTTTACATCAATGGTTACTTTTACTGTACCTTTACATTAAATAACATTAATTAAAACACCCATATTTTTTACATTAATTTTACTATAGCAACAACCAGGGTCTTATTTTCTTGTTTCAGATGGATAACCGACATTGGGTGTAAACACGACAACAACAATAGCGTCCCATCTCCTCTTGTGTGATCTTATTCGAGTATTATTGACTTATATTGTATAAGGTGCAATCATAAACATTATTTGAAGAATATAGTTTGCATTTTTCATTAATTGTATTGTTTTTGGGGGGAATAGAGGGTAAAATGCCACACAAAAGTTATGAAAAGGTCACACTGGGGAACACATCTTATTATTATTGCTTTCTTTTAATGGTAATTAATGATTCATGATATGATGATTCATCTTACACTGCAATATTGGAGGACACATTACCGTCGTTATTCGAGGCTTTGCTGTACCAGTAAATGAGAGGAATAAATAAAAATAATTCCAAATAAATAATTTACAACAAAAAATACTGTAGTAATGTGAGTTAACTGGAATGCTTCAAACCCAGAATTTCCGATAGCCGGAACTGAAATTTTCTTGGAAAATCGTTCGAAAAGCCAAAACTTTACGGAAAATACCGGCATTGAGAAAGATTTTCTAAGGGGCACATTTTTTTTAAATTTCTGCAAAAATTTTCCCAGCATACCTGAAAAATTCCAGGGATGTTTCTTTGTTTTCCATGTTTGAGAGATAAAAATCAGGCACATTTTCTGGAAATTCCAAGAAATTTTTTTCAGTAGAGTACTCAAAAAATTCCAGGATGTGGGATATTTTTCCGGGTTCGAGAGATGAGGTAATACGCAATTTCTGTAACTTCCGAGAATATTTTTCCGTTACCCGGAAAATATCGGGAATGAGGGATATTTTTCTGGCTTTGAGAGATTAAATAATGCATCTTTCTAGAACTTCCGAGAACATTTTTCCATTATGTACCTGGAAAATTCCGGGGATGAGGGATTTTTTTCTGGCTTTGAGAGATGAAAAAATGCATCATTCTGGAACTTCAGAGAACAGTTTTCTGTTATCTGTTTTTCAGGTGCTCAAAAGGCGACTGATTGTGCTTTTCAGTGCCCTAGTGTGATCATAATATCTCTGAGTATATGTTGTTGCACAAGCATTTAGTTGGCATTAGTGATCCAGCGTTGTAGAGGCATGTATGTCAAATCTGTGACTTGTTCACTAGTGTTGACAGCCTGCAAGCTGTGTTGTGCATTCAAAGCCGCTACAGGTTGCCGTTTCCTGCCAGGGGGTAGGACAGCCCCTGCCCACTTTGGCCGTGGCAAACACAGGTACCCAGGTACAGTATGTGTGGCTGGTCTCAACCTGCTCTCTGCACTTCATCTGCGGCCTGCACTATTACAGCGTCAGGCCAGCCTGTGAGATGTAGCCAACATCCATGTCAACTTGCTTGGGTTCTGCCCCCCGCCACAGGAGCCCGAGCTGTTTGGCATCCCTGCAGGAGGTGTACGTCACCCAATCACCCAAGAACCTCTACCTCTCTCTGGCTGCCTGCAAGGATTTGGGGCTTGTTCCTGAGGATATTCCATTCCCCTGTGGGAGTGGAGGCGGTGAGCAGCGAGATGGCACTCCCTGTTGACCCCGTCTTGTCACACAGACCACACACGGTACCGTTTCTGCCATTGGATGAGAATGTTTCAAGATTAGAGGGGTGGCAACTCCAGCATTTCTCTTTCACCACCTTCAACACCACCAGGTCCTCGCTCCCTGCCATGACCGGCAACCCCCACCACATCCACCTGACTTCCGGCACCCAGCCATATGCCTGTCACACCCAGGCATCTCTGCCCAGGTACTGGGTAGCAGAGGTCAAGGATCAGCTAGATGAAGGCATCAGGAGAGGCATCATCCAGCCTGTCCTAGCTGGGAGGCTAGCAAGTGGTGTGCTAAGATGGTGGTGGTAGCCAAGAAGTCTGACCACCCTAGGCTTATTGTGGATTACCAGTGCCTCAACACTTGCTGCCTCCGGTAAACTCACCACACACCTGTCCCCTTCGATATGGTGTCCCAAGCCCCATTACACTCCTACAAAACCGTAACTGATGCCTACTGGGGCTTCCACCAGGTGGAGCTTGATGAAGAGAGACACCGTCTCACAACTTTTATCACGCCATAGGGTCGTTACCAGTACACCAGAACACCCACGGGCCATTGTTCCACATCCGATACATACACATGCAGATTTGATGCCATCCAGGTTGTGCCCAGGAAATATAAGTATGTCGACGACACCCTACTGTATGACTCAAGTGTGGAGGGGGCATTTTGGCATACATTTGACTTCCTGGTGACATGTGCACATAAAGGAACAACCCTCAAGCCTGAGAAATTCCAATTTGGCAGGAAGGAGGTTAACTTTGCGGGGTTTCACCTCGGTTGGGACTCCTACAAACCCACCACCGATCACCTATCTGCCATGAAGGACTTCCCCATGCTAGCCCAGCCCACTATCACGGATATCAGGTTATGGCACGGCTTTGTCAACCAGTTGGCCCAGTTTCTTGCCACAGCCCCCATCATGGAGCTCCTCAAGAAGCCCTCTGGGAAAACGGTGTACTGGGATGACCAGTTACTGGCCAAGTTCCGTCGGGCTAAGGACACATCTGCCAGCTAGCCAGAGATGGCCTAGTTTATTATGACAAGACCAAACCCATGGCTGCCATCACCAACTGGAGACAAGGAATGAATAGGTTTTGTTGTCCTCCAGCAGTGCTGCACCTGCTCTTCTGCCGACACGCAGGGTCTAATGGTAGACCTGCTGCCACATGGCATCAAAAAAATTGTGACCAAGTTCCAGGTTGCTGATCTGATTTTCTGCCTCATTTACACACAACTGCAGGGTCTCAATTGTTTCTCTAACTATTGACAACACAGCATACATATATTGTTTCTCACTTTTGATCTTTTTTCATTTTTGTATTTCTTTATGGTTCTTTATTATTATTATTATTGCTATTATTATTATAAATATTATTATTATTACAGGTATTAATATTATTATTATTACATTTTCGCACCTCCAGGCCCCGATGTGGGTCAGCGACCTGTGCCCGGGTTGGCTAATCCCCGTAAAAAAAAAAGTCAAATCGGGGGTGGCCGCAGCCAATCAAATCTAGGGTGGGGGGGGGCGGCAACCTATCAAATCTAGGGTGTGGAGGGGGGGGGCAGCCAATCAAATCCAATAAAAAATCTCAACTTTTGATTCAACCAATTAGCATTCAATATTCAGCGTGGGTGGTAGGATGCGGGACATTTTTAATCAGTTGCAACATGGAGCCATAACGTAAGTACTGGGTGCGATTTCAATTATTGGAAGTTTATCGTATTATTTAATTCAAAAAATAAGGAAACTTTAAGGAACTGAGGAACCCACGACGCATTCTGATCTCTGACTCGGGGTAAGGTCAGAAATACTGTAACAGTTATTTATATTCTCGTGGAGGCTGACCACGCAACACTAGGGTTATTACATAGCGTTTGGGAGTCCGAGGGCAGAGGCCCCAGTAGGGTTTAGTTAAGGTTTAGTTTGGTTATATGGTATAAGTTAGCAAGCACAGAGTACCGGAAATTCAGAACAAACAATCGATAAACTATTATGAGGGGGGGGGAGGGCTAAATCACAAACGAGTAATTTCCAACAGAAACGAAGGTCAGATTTGAACTAATCGCATCATAACCCATCAGAAAACCACTTTTTCTTCAAATTCCACGATTGCTTTAATGTGCACATTTACCAAAAACAGCCGTTTTTGATCAAGGATAATTCACATCTTTTTAAAAAACAATAACGCATTTCCCATGGAAACGAATGTCAGATCTGAACAAAACCCATCAAAATACATCAGAAATCAAACATCTCGTGAAAAAATACGAGGGTGTGTTAAAACGAATATTTACCCAAATAACTCATCGACAAGTCAGTCGTCAATATTAACCTTTAAAAGTTCAACCTAACCTAACCTAACATAATCTGTGAGAAGTACTTCCTCGAAAACACGTACAAGAATATAAACATAACAAATAACACATGGCGGTATAGTCATCAATATTAACCTAAAGTACTTACTATAATAACAAGAATGTGGAAAAAATTAACGAATTGAACAGGTCCTTCTGATGGTAACTCATTTTGTTGGTAACGATGTTCTCATACAATATCAATTTAGCCAGTTTGTGAAATAATAGCTCACAAACGAACCAAGACTAAACATCTTAGGTTAGATTTGGTTGTGTCACATTGTATGGCACTCTTCAAACATTTACTATGACAAAATCAGCCTTATGAACACTGGCCTGGTCCCTTCGTCCAATATGCAGTTTACCGAAGAAAAAAAAATGTGATGCTCATTAATTTTGCACACAGGCTATGACATACCTTAATCATGCATTCTCTGATAAATTGTTTGTCAAGCATCATGTACCTTAACATGGCAGATGGCAGTTACTGTACAGTACTTTCATATCATAGTACAGTATCAGAATTCGGGTCTTCCGGTTTATAATACTTTCATTAATTGTACTCTCAAACTAAATTACTAATCAAAGGGCGAGAAAATTAAAACTAACGAGCTCGGATTATGTTATTTGCAGACATCCATGAATGAAACATCAATAGTAAATCATTTTCTAGGTCAAGGTAACACAATTCACACCTTCAACTGCTTATGTTTACACCACAGAACGTTACCCCATGACCCAAACTACTTAAAAAATACAAGTTGTCATGCTATCAAAAACTAATTACCTTCTTGGTTATATAATATAAAACAGCTCCAGCAACACCAGACAGCAACAGAGCCCCACCAAGAGGTAATATGAGGTTTTTAATACGTCCCGTGTCCATGACGATCACTCCCTACCAACTCCAAGACACTGAGTCGCCTCCTACCTCCCACCTCCAAATTTTACAGGGATTATTATTCGTCTGCTACACTTTTTTAAATTACGGTGATAGTACTGCGATATAATGACTTTAAATGGCATATCCTCACCAATTTCTGTAATTTTTAATGTTTAATATTTTTTCAGTTGTCATTAAGTTGTTTATTACTGTAGTAGACAAGTAGTTTCATCACCTGCACTTGGTCAAAAATATAACTCTCCTTTTTATTAGAATATTATTCATTACTTACGATAATTAGTATATTAACGATTAGCTGTGAATTCATAGACATATGCAAAGGGTTCAAATAGACTCATGTTATTTGTTATTACAGTGGCAATGTTGCCCATCTTCTGTTGGTGCTTTTTTTTTTACTTTTATCCTCTAAAGACCTTAGCTGCTGAAGCACGTTAATATTTTATAACAACATCTGTGGAAGTGGTTGGCTGATACATATAAATACATATTATCTCAGGCAATTAGTAAAACAATAAAATATTTAGCAAGTGAGAGCTTGAGTGCGCGGGGTAATGTGGTCCCAACGGATTAGTTGCGTCTGCTGCGCTTGGCCACTAATACAACTCCCACACTGATATTTTATTGTAATTCGTGTATTAACTTTAATTTATATTGAAATGCAGCACATTGATTAAAACTGAAGCCAATAAGGACGAGTTCATAAGTTCCACACGTACAGCATGTACTCTATCCTTTAATTTTATTTTTTGCTCACTCCATTGGCCGATACTATTTTACTTAAAGAAATGTTTATACAATATACTGTGGTGTGGGTTTATGCAAACTTACATACTAATACACACACATGCATATAAGGATACCGACAAAATATGTAAACACAAACGCACATAAATATATAGCCTGTAAATTATATGCACTGTACTACCCATACCCGGCAACCCCCCGATCAGTTATTTCATTCATAGATGTTAGTACTGTATTGTATTGTAATCCGGTAACTGGTGGTAAATTACTGTCTGATTAAGGCAGTAAAGTTTTCGGTTTCAAAATATTTCATGACGGCAATGTTGGCAACACCGCATGCAGGTTATACAAGAATAAATACTTGTCACATCTCGTTTGTCATGTTTGTCCAGAAATATGCAAGCAAATCAGCACATATGATAATCTTCCTACAACGTCATTCACAGATTTACATCTGTACGGTAACATTCAAGAGTGGTTTACATTAATGAAGCTTAGTGAACCCCCCAAAAAAAAGAAATAAGCATTAAATAATGACATTTGAGAGTGGAGTGCCAAACAAGCAGCAACACAGCATCTATAGATAACCTAATGTATTGTTGAAGATGACGTCAACTTGTAGCAGAGGGTGTCGAGTTGTCCTGGCATCAAACTTTGTAGCGTACAGTATGTGGCCAGTTGTCAATTCTCTTTAGTTGTCTATTGTCTTTTTGTATGGGCACACAAACGTACGTACATGTAGATATCTCACACTCAGGAATGGGGTAGAATAGACTCACAATACGTTTTCTGTATATATATTGTTGTACAGTGCAGTGCTAAGGAGTTACTAGGTGAGGAGTAGCTTGCTCAGAGGTCCTGTAGGGTGAGGAGCTTGTATTTTTTTTTTATTGGGCACCCCTCCTACATCCTTGTGTCAGGTGAAGCGCAGAAGCGTTTACAGCGCCCAACAGGGAAGCATGCTAAGTTCATGCTTGCCTTTATGACTCATGAGTTAAGGGTGTAGAAGCCTGAAGAGTCAGTGGTTTATGTCATCAAGTTATTGGAAGCTCCAACAACTCCCTGAATACAAATTCGCAACTTTCGACTTACAACAGGTACCTACTTTACTGCTAGGTGAACAGGGACTAATGGGGGCTAGGAAGTAAGTCAGTGGGGTGGCTGATGTTTGGGTTCACACTCAGGTTGGGATGGAGAAAGGAAACTCACAATGTGCTCTCTGTATATATGTTGTATTGGATGTACAATGCAGCTTGGTGCTGGGAAGTGGCAGCGTGGTTACAAGCGTGATGTAGAGAGAGCTGGTTGGTGAGGATGCTCAGAGGAGGACCAGCTTGTGGGTCGCCATGCTCGCCGGCGGGAGCGAGGGCCGCCAGGCAGGAGGAGGAGGAGGAGGTGTTGCTTGCTGGTTGGTGTAGGTAGAAAAGAGAGGTAGGTCACCACGAGGTCAGGTCTTATATAGCGGAGGTAGGCGTGGCTTAATAGTTGACCTCCGTCATGTAAGGCGGCGCTGGTTGACCTAGACCACGAGGCATACACTGGGGAATTCGTGGGGTCGGCTACACAGCGACAAACAGCGTTTGTAGGGGAGAAATCCACTACAAGTCCAACAACTTCCACCGGCCCGGGAATCGAACCCTTGACATCTCGCTTGCGAGGCAAGACTGTCCATTTATTTGCTTCGACAGGTGTGATTTTGGCAGCCTCCATGTGTCTGCGAAGTCGCATAATTTCTACCATGACATCCTCATTAAAAATTTAATTAAAAATCTTGGTCATGCTTGAATTTGAAATACTCCCCTGAAGTTGTTGTTCTTTTGCAGAAAACAAGTAGCTTGGCTGAATAGCTGCAAATATTGACAAGATGTCATCCACGGCCTCTGAACGAGCATCCAATTCTAGACTAAATCGATCTAAGCATTCAAACACTGATCTCCTCATTTCCTCTTGCATTGGCAGTCCAGCACCCCTAGCCATCTCTCCTGGCATCATTTTCTTACGTCTTGTGGGGTATGAGATTGTTTGGTTCACACTCAGGATGGAATGGAGAAAGGAAACTCACAATGTGCTCTCTATATACATGTTGTATTGGATGTACAATGCAGCTTGGTGCTGGGAAGGCAGCATGGTTACAAGCGTGATGTAGAGAGAGCTGGTTGGTGAGGACGCTCAGAGAAGGACAGCTTGTGGGTCGCCACGCTCGCCAGCGGGAGAGAGGACCGCCAGGCAGGCGGAGGAGGGAGGGCCGCCAGGCAGCGGCAGAGGAGGAGGTGTTGCTGGCTGTGGCTGTAGGTAGAGAGAGAGCTAGACCACCACGAGGTCAGGTCTTAAATAGCGGGGGTAGGCGTGGCTTAGCAGTTGACCCCCGCTCCGTGGTGTATGGCGGCGCTGGTTGACCTAGACCACGAGGCATACACTTGGGAATTGGTGGGGTCGGCTAGGCAGCGACAAACAGCGTTTGTAGGGGAGAATTCCACTACAGTACTCCCCCTTCCCTCCAGGCTGTGTAGGAGACTTGTTGTCTGCAGAGTTGCTTAGCACATGCGAGGCAGAACGGGCGGTGCGTGCCTCATGTGAGACAACGGCGATGGCGTGATGAGCCGGTCGCTGGATACAACTGTCTAGATACACAATATCTGTGGGAGTAGAGAGGGAGAATAAGGGTGTGTGGAGGCGATGAATGTTGTGCTTCCCTCACGGCAGGTACAGAGTCGACAGATGCGCCTGCTGGGGTGTGTGGACCTGGGTCAGGAGCAGGGGCTGTGTCAGCAGCAGCGGATGAGGGCTCGTGACAGCAGCTGGGTCCACGACAGCAGCAGGGTGCAGGACATTAGCAGGGAGTACCTGAGGGAGAAAAGAGGGGTGTGTGGGTCCGCACTCAGGAACAGAGGCCGCATCAGGGGCGGCAGGGGTTACTGCTGGGCCGGGGTCGGCGTCTGAGGCAGGACGGGTGTGCTGGGGTCGGTAGGACGTGGTGCTTGGGGCAGGAAGAGGAGCTGGTGTCTGCTTAGAGTAGCAGAGCTGCTCTAGGGTGTCTAACCTGCGGTGTAGAGACAGTAGTTGTAGAGTCGATGAGAGCTGCTTCTGGGTTGATAAGCCAGCCTTCCATGTTGCTTGAAGACTGGGAGAATGATCAGTTTCTCCTCCATCCTGTGTGAGTGCGAATCTCCGGGAGTCACCATTTGTGGGGTATGAGATTGTTTGGTTCACACTCAGGATGGGATGGAGAAAGGAAACTCACAATGTGCTCTCTATATACATGTTGTATTGGATGTACAATGCAGCTTGGTGCTGGGAAGGCAGCATGGTTACAAGCGTGATGTAGAGAGAGCTGGTTGGTGAGGACGCTCAGAGAAGGACAGCTTGTGGGTCGCCACGCTCGCCAGCGGGAGAGAGGACCGCCAGGCAGGCGGAGGAGGAGGAGGGAGTGCCGCCAGGCAGCGGCGGAGGAGGTGTTGCTGGCTGGTTGGTGTGGGTAGAAAAAAGGAGAGATCACCACGAGGTCAGGTCTTAAATAGCGGGGGTAGGCGTGGCTTAGCAGTTGACCCCCGCTCCGTGGTGTATGGCGGCGCTGGTTGACCTAGACCACGAGGCATACACTTGGGAATTGGTGGGGTCGGCTAGGCAGCGACAAACAGCGTTTGTAGGGGAGAATTCCACTACAGTCTTATCCTCCCTCTTGTTTCCATGGAGATGCCCATTTCTTCACATTGTGCAGTTGCATATTGAATCGCTCTCTCCACAATTTTATTCCGCTGACCTCGAAGAAACAATTTCAAACCATTCTACAGTGCACTTTTCAAGACTTATTCCTTCTGTTTGCAAATACTTCTGTGTGAGATTCACTTCTTCCAGTACATCACACCAAAAAGAAAGATAAACCAAAAAATAAAAATCACATACAGCTTTAAGCAAAACTTCAGCTGATCCTCTTGTGTCAACACTTTCTCTTTGATTCGTCAGTATTTCCAGGGCTATGATCAGCTTCTCAAATTGTTTCTTGAGAGGCTTTACGGCATCTTGATGTGCACTCCATCTAGTCTGAGAAAGTCTTTTGACTGTCAGGTTCATATTTTCTTTCAGTACTTCCCATCGGTGAGTTGAAAGTGAAAAAAAGCAATAAAGTTTCTCTACAGTGTGGGGTGAGAGATGTTTGGTTCGAGACTCAGGATGGGATGGAGAAAGGAAACTCACAATGTGCTCTCTGTATACAGTACATGTTGTATTGGATGTACAATGCAGCTTGGTGCTGGGAAGTGGCAGCGTGGTTACAAGCGTGATGTAGAGAGAGCTGGTTG